CCTCCCGTGCTGTTCCCTGCGTCTTCCTTGGCTTCCCCCTGACGCGCTTGGTTGGCAGTTTTACCACCCCACCTCGCGCCGTGTTCTGTCCTCCCAGGACGTCACGTTTGACCAGTCGGTTCCGTACTACTGTCTCTTCCCCTACCGCACTGCCCCGCTCCCCCCCCCGCCGCTCTTCCTCGCGCCAGGTCCCCCCCCGGTAGACCCCCTCCCCCCTCAGGGTCCTGCTCCTTCAGGTGTGTCTCAGGTAGACCCCCCCCCCTTGGCTGAGCCTTTGGAGGTCACTTCCGACACCTCTGGCCCACCTGAGGGGGGTGACGTTGCTGCTGACGCCCCGGCGGCCTACCGCCGCACACCACGCTTGGAGACCCCTCCGGGGTTCCCTCCGCGACCTTCTTCGCCGCCTCTGCAGCCGGTTACTGTTGACTCTGGTGCTGTTGGGGGTGGTGCTGAGCCTGGGGGTGCTGAGTCTGGGGGTGCGGAGTCTGGGGGTGCTGAGCCTGCGCGTGAGGAGACTGGAGGTCCTGCGCCTGGGGGTGCTGTGTCTGGGAATGCTGAGCCTGTGTGTGCGGAGTCTGAGGGTACTGAGTCTGGAGGTGAGCCGTCTGAGGGTACTGGGACTGCTCTTGCGCGGCCTACTTGGAGTGGCCACCTTCGTCCGCGTGTGCCTCTCACCTCACAGCAGCTGCACGACTGGTACGGTCGCCGTCAGGGTCGCGCTGCTGGAGCCCGGGACTCTACTACTGGAGGTACTGGAGCTGCTGGGGCTGGGGGTGCTGCGTCTGGAGGTGCCGCTGCTGGAGACACTGAGGCTGGAGACCCTGGGACTGGAGGTGCTGGTTCTGGGGGTGCTGCTACGGGAGACACTGCGGTTGGAGACCCTGGGGCTGGAGGTGCCGGTTCTGGGGGTGCTGCTGCTGGTGACGCTGAGTCTGGAGGTGCTGGCGCTGGAGGTACCGGTTCTGATGCTGGAGCTTCTGGAGCTCCTGGAGGTGCTGGAGCAGCAGGAGGCACTGGAGCTGCTGGAGGCGCTGGCGCTGCTGGTGCTGGTACAGCTGCGCCGACACGCCTGTTCTTCGCTCCGCCGTCTCCGTCGTCTCTGCCGCCGCCTGACTCTGCTCTTCGTCAGGTTGTTACTCTCCCGTCGTCTACTGGTCTTCCGTTATAGCCTGGCTCACCGCTGCCTGGTCCCTTTCCTTACACTGAGCAGACAGGTAGTCTTGCTGAGCGTCGTGAGCCTGCGTCGCGTCCAGTCTCGCCTGTTCGTTCTGGTCGTACCGGTAGTCGTGTTCCTCGTTCGCGTCAGCCGGCTGTCCCCAGCGCACACCTTGTTGTCCGTCGTCCTTCCTCTGCTCCGCAGCCTGTTCCTCTGCCATCTCCCCCTGCGTCCTCTCTGCCTGCCGTTCCGGACCCTGAGTCTGACCGGTTTCGTGCTGAGCACCCTACTGTCACGCGTCTGTTAGCCACTGTTGTCACTGACCCGTCGTTTGAGTCCACTGCTGCGTCTGCCTTGGTTACTGAGCTTGTTGACTTTGCTGCTGCCTGTCGTATAGACTACGCTGCTAGCCTTGTTGCTGTGTCTGAGTCTGTCTGTCCTCCGTCCGTCGGGGGTGAGTGTGCTCTTAGCACGGACGTCCTTGAGGACAGGCAGGAGGAGTTCCAGTGTCTTGCTGCTGCTTTACCTCATCTTGTGTCCTCGCTGCTTGCCCCTGAGGGAGACCCAGATGCACCAGACATCCCGACTCCGCGCTCTTACGCAGAGGCAATAGAGGGTCCCTACTCCTCTCAGTGGCAGGCAGCCATGGACGCAGAGATGGCTTTCTGGAAGTCCACAGGCACCTACGTCGACGAGGTTCCCCCACCTGGGGCGAACATCGTCAGTGGCATGTGGATTTTCAGGGTGAAGCGGCCGCCTGGTTCTCCGCCTGTCTTCAAGGCGCGTTACGTGGCTCGAGGCTTCAGTCAGCGGCAGGGAGTTGACTACTTTCAGACTTTCTCTCCCACCACGAAGATGACCACTCTTCGGGTGCTACTGCACATAGCCGCTCACCGTGACTACGAGCTTCACTCTCTTGACTTTAGCACAGCTTTCCTACAGGGCAGTCTGCACGAGGAGATCTGGCTACGCCGCCCACCTGGCTTCACTGGGTCGTTTCCTCCTGGTACCCAGTGGAGCCTCCGGCGGCCAGTCTACGGTCTCCGCCAGGCGCCGCGTGAGTGGCACGACACACTGAGGACTACGCTTGCGGCTCTTGGGTTTGCTCCTTCTACTGCCGACCCGTCGCTGTTTCTACGCACCGACACCTCTTTGCCGCCGTTCTACATCCTCGTGTACGTCGACGACTTGGTCTTTGCTACAGCTGACACTGCTGGACTCGCCCACGTGAAGTCTGAGCTGCAGAAGAGACACACGTGTACAGACCTGGGTGAACTGCGCAGCTACCTCGGCTTGCAGATCACCCGGGACAGAGCACGGCGCACCATTACACTGTCTCAGTCACACATGGTGCAGCAGGTCCTTCAGCGCTTCGACTTCACGTACTCCTCGCCTCAGGCCACTCCTCTGTCTACTCGCCACTCGCTCTCAGCTCTGCCTTCGGATGAGTCCGTAGAGCCGAGTGGCCCGTACCCAGAGCTTGTTGGCTGCCTCATGTACCTGATGACCTGCACGCGACCTGACCTTGCATACCCTCTTAGCATCTTGGCACGCTATGTTGCTCCTGGGAGACACCGACCAGAGCACATGGCTGCAGCGAAGAGGGTGTTGCGCTACTTGTGCAGTACGTCGGGCATGGGGCTAGTGCTTGGAGGGCAGAGTCCAGTGGTCCTCACTGGTCACGCAGACGCGTCTTGGGTTGACGACCTGGCTACGCAGCGGTCGTCACAGGGTTACACCTTCAGCCTTGGTTCCGGCTCTGTTTCGTGGCGGTCTACCCGCTCGTCGTCTGTTCTCAGCTCCAGCTGTGAGGCTGAGATCTACGCAGGAGCCATGGCTGCTCAGGAGTTACGCTGGCTCACTTGCCTGCTGACTGACCTAGGAGAGCCGCCTCGTTCTCCTCCAGTTCTGTACGTAGACAACAAGGCCATGCTGGCCTTGTGTCAGGAGCATAGACTGGAGCACAGAACGAAGCACATTGCTCTTCGCTACTTCCTTGCTCGTGAGCTGCAGCAGCGTGGTCAGCTGCGCCTTGCGTACGTGGCCTCTCAGGCCAACACTGCTGATATCTTTACCAAGGCACTTCAGCCTTGTGATCATCAGCGCTTTTGTACGATGCTAGGTCTTGTGCCTACTTGGCCGCACTTGCTCACCTCTTGACCTTGCTTTGAGTTGTGTTCTATATACGTGCTCTTGCTTGTTTCTCGTTATATATATAATCCTGCATGTGAACTGGCCTTGTGGCCTTGAACTTGTGCTCAGAATGTGTGGTGACGTTGTGATCCACCCTGAGCTTGCTTTGCTTTGCTTGACTGGTCTTGTGACCCCTTGTTCTCCCCCACTTTGCCTATGGGGGGTGTCAGATATATATGACTTAGTCTTTGTAGGCTCTAGTGGGGTAGACACTAAGGGGTACAGGTTTCTAGGGTTTCATATTTGTATCCAACATTTTCTTAGTTCAATCTTTCGTCTCAATTCTCACACGCGGCCTGTTTTCCAAACGTTCAGGCTGCTAATGGGCGGGGCGCGGGCGGCCTTTGTTCTCGCGTCCTTAAACTTGAAGATCAGATAAATTCTCTGATGGTGACTTGAAAGACGGAAATATCAAGCCTGATTATCAAAGATTTTCTGATATTACGTGGCCTGTTTTCCAAACGTTTAGGCTGCTAACGGGCGGGGCGCGAGCTGCCTTTGTTCTCGCGTCCGTTAATTCTCTGATGCTGACCCCAAGGACACAATATATATGGGGCCTGTTTTTCGAGTCGACTCAAGTGCGTGTTCGCGTGCCCTTTAGTAATTCTCTGATGGTGGGTCAAGGGCACAAATATATATCATGGGGCCTGTTTTCACACGTTTAGGGACATTGGCTGCGTGCGCGTAGCTGCGTGCGCGCGGCTGCTGCCTAGGGCAAGGCGGGGCGGGGCCTGCTAACGAGCGGGGCGGGGCCTGCTAGGATAAAAAAAACGGTATTTAGGAACTGAGTGGGCTAGGAACTAACGTCGATGATACCTCGGAACCAGGGCTGTCGCTACAAGGGCATTTGCCCTTTTTGTCCTTGAATTCACGTGCTTGTTTGAGCCCAACTCAGAGAATTCAAGTGCTGGCTTTGAGGCCAGCCCTTTTTCCTTAAGCGCTGGCTGAGCTCCTAACCCGGATTTCATGTATGCGTTCAAAGCCCTTCCCCTCCCCCCTACCCCCTCGTTCCCTTGTTATTCGTTCCCTGCTTGCGTAAAACTTCCTCACCTACCGGTCCCCTCGCTGCATTGAAGATTGGGTTACCTCAGCCCTTAGGTGTATTTGAACATCAACCTACTTTCACGATGTGTTTACGTTCAAGTGCAGAAGGATGTGTAGCCCTGAATCTAAGTGTTGAAAATGGACTCAACCCGGAAAATTAAGGGCTGAAATTAGGCCACCTCAGCCCGCTAAGTTCTTCGGCCAGGGCAAGCGACAGCCCTGCTCGGAACGAATAGCGGAATGATGAGACAAGGAAAATACAAACCCAAATTCTCCCTATTGTGTGCCTCACTATAGCCTGCATGCGTGATGCAAAATCCTAGACAATGATACGGACTATTCGCCTGGAGGTACAGTATTTCAGGGTGCTTGAAGCAGACGAAGAGGAAAAACAAGGTATTTACGGTTATGTTGAATCAGAGATTCAGAGCCCAGTCTTGCCCTGGCATACCTGAACAACTGGCCTGTACGGGCCACTTTCCTTATGAATGAACCCCTCTTGAGCGGATTCAAATAATACCGTCTATTACCATACCGTACCACCACACTCACAACCACCATGCTTCACCATAAATTTACGTGTCTTTTTTTTTTTTTTTCTCTCAGTTTAGGTATTTTTTTGCTCTTCTGCTGTCCTGCTACTCTCCATAGGCAGCGAGTGCAGCAAAAAATGCAGGAAAGTCCGCGCCACAGCATCTCCCACCGCCCCCCTCACAACAGGCTTTGCTCGTTTCTGCCCGCCCACAAAGCACGAGTAATGATGATCCCCGGGACACGTGTCGCCATACCGCGGCGCCTCCACGGCCCACGAATCAAACACCGCCATCTCAGCACCCCGCGTCACCGACGCCGCCAGCTGGCGAGCGTGCCGATTGGCCGCAGCCAGGTACAGGTTCGTCGCAGGCCCGGCGAAGCCCCGCTTGACCGCATAGTCCGAGCAATGCGAGCCGGCGTTTGGCACGGGCGGCGGCGTTCGAAAGACGACGCGCGCGCGGTTGTCCCGAGCGGCGAGGAGGGCCCAGATGAAGAACTCGGGGAGGCGGGCACGGAGGGCTTGCAGCGGCTCGGCACACCACTTGCCGGCCCAGTAGCCGCCCTCTATGACCGTGACGTTGGCTGTGGTCGAGATGTTGGGGAAGGTGTGGTAGTTGTGTGTGTACTGCCCTCTCAACCTGCACTCAGGGGTTGGGGGGTTGGGGAAATCAAAGGCGAAGGTTTGGGCCTTGCAGGTAGAAGCGCCTTGCCTCGGCATGCCACTTGCCATGCCAGCCCTGTGGCCGCCTCTAAGAAAGGCTGTGGCCGTGGTGGCGATTGGGGGAAGGTGTTCGCTGTGCGTGCAGTGCTTTCTCAATACGCGTGTTCTTTCTGGGAGGATTGATTTGAAAGCAACAATGTCCCATTCAATCAGTAAAAGAGGTCGGCTTGTAGCTTTGCGACAAAGAATGGTGAGAGCGGGACGGGAGGAGCAGCAAAGGCACTCACGAGCAGCCGTATTCGCGGTTTCTGTAGATGCCATCCACCCAGTAGAAGTTGATTCGCAGCTCCTTGCCCTTGCGCTCGTCCGTGACTGTGAAGTTCATGTCCTCGTGAGATCGCACCATGCGCTCGTCTGCGACGCCTGGGGGAGGGAGAAAGAGAGAGAGAGGGAAGAGGGGAGCGGAAAAGGGGAGGTGGAGAGGAAGATGAATGGGGTATGAGGCTTTTTGCCCGTGGCGCTCAGTCGTGAAAGTGAATTTCATGTCCTCATGCGTCGCACCATGCGCTTGTCCGCAAAGCTGGGTGGAAGGAAGGGAGAGGTGTGTGAGGGGAGTGGTGAGCGAACAGAGGCTAGTGCGCTCATCCGTGACAGTGAAGTTCATAACCTCGTGTGATTGCACCCTGCGCTCGTCCGCAAAGCCTGGTGGAGGGAGGGCGAAAGGAAGAAGGTAAAGAGTAAGGGCCTCGGATATGAGGCATGTGCGCTCATCCGTGACTGTGAAGTTCATGTCCTCGTGTGACCGCACCATCGTCTGCAAAGCCTGGTGGAGGAGTGGGGAAGAGGGAGGGGTGGGTCGGGCGAGAGGAAGAAAGGGGTAAAGGCCTCAGATATGAGGCATGTGCGCTTATCCGTGACCGTGGAGTTCATGTCCTCATGCGACCGCTCGGTTCTCGTCCGCATAGTGTGGAGGAAAAGGGGGGGGGGGGGGGTGGGGCGTGGTGGGAGGGGACGAGGGAGGGAGGGAGAGATAGGGGGATAAAGGTTCTGCCCATGGGATAAAGGTCGTGATTGCACCATTTGCTCGTCTGCAAGCCTGGTGGAGGAGGGAGAAGAAAGAGGAGGCGAGATGGGAAGGAGTAAGGAATAAGGGGCATGGGGAAGGAGTAAGGAATAAGGGGCATGGGGAAGGAGTAAGGAATAAGGGGCATGGGGAAGGAGTAAGGAATAAGGGGCATGGGGAAGGCAGCGTAGAAAGGCCCGAATGGATGGACATGGGCAACGGGGATGGAGCAGAAGCAGCAAAAAACCACACCCTGACAAGCGTGTAGGTACTCTTCAGGAGAAAGAAAGAGAGTCCACTATCACAGATGAAACGTAAGCAACAGAGAACTGCACTTGCGGGAAGCTTATCAGGTTGAATAACAGAAACGGACACATACCTGACAGGTGGAATATCAGGTGAAATTAGATCAAAAGCTACACACACCTGACAGGAGATATCTCAGGTGAAAAGACATCACGCGCTGGTGCGAGTCCCCCACGATGTTGATCTCCTGAATGCCCTTCCGCACCAGCTGTGCCACCCACCCTGATGGTCGCTTTGGCTCACTGGGTGCACATGGGTAGAAGCGCCACCTGACAAGGGGGGGGGATACAGAGGGAGGCAGAGCTTTTCCCTTCCGCACCAGCTGTGCCACCCACCCTGACGGCCGTTTCGGTTCACTGGGTGCACACGGGTAGAAGCGCCACCTGCAAGAGTTGGGAGTGGGGCACGTGGGGGGGGGGGGGGGGGTGGTGTTGGAGGAGGATGGCGGGAAAGGAACAGTGTAAACCTTGGGCGGCAGCTGTGGCACCCACCCTGATGGTAGCTTTGGCTGATTGGCTGCACACGAGTAGAAGCGCCACCTGCGAGGGTGGGGAGAGGGGCGGAGAGAGGGGAAATGTGGGGGGTTGGATGAGGGTTGGGAGGGGGGCCAGGAATGCAACACCCACCCTGATGGTAGCTTTGGCTGATTGGCTGCACACGATTAGAAGAGCCACCTGCGAGGGTGGGGAGAGGGGGGGTTGTGGGGGGGTTGAATGGGTCGCGGATAGATAAGGGGGAGGGAGGGAGAACCAGGGCAGAGAGAAGGAAAGAGGGGGGTTGGGGGAGGAGGAGGGGGGGGAGGAGGGGGGGGGGGGGGGAGAAGGAGGGGGTAGTGATCGGTCGTGAGACGTAGGGAATGTTGCGGTGGATGGGGAGAGGCCGTGCTTAAATGGCCTCCTTCCCACACCAGCTCTCCAATGTGGTGTGGCCTCCTCCCTTCCACACCAGTTGTTCCACCCAACCTGACGGCTGCTTCGCCTCGCTGGGTGCACACGAGTAAAAGCACCACTAGCCAGGGTAGGGCAGCGTTATCATGATTTCCCCATGCCTCTCTTTCCTGCCTTTTTCCCATGCCTCTCTATGCCTGTTTCCCATTCCAGTCCCATGCCTCTCTCCCATGCCTCTCTCCCATGCCTGTCTCCCATGCCTCTCCCCATGCCTCTCCCCATGCCTCTCCCAAGCTTCCCGACTCACTCGTATCCGCCACTCTTGGACAGCACCCATCGCCCCTTGATGCCGGAGGCCTTGAAGCTTTTCCCATCCTCTTTCCTCTCCCAAACCTCTCCCATACCCCCCTTTTGCGTCCCTAAAGCCTAGCCCATGCGTCTCCCTCACACACCCCCAACTCACTCGTATCCGCCAGTATTGGACAGCACCCAGCGCCCCTTGATGCCAGACACCTGGCACGGCGTTATTGGCAGCTTCTCTTCGTCCTCATCTTCCTCCTCCTCATCTGTCGCACCCACCTCCAACAGCCCCCTCCCTTCCCCTAACCTCCCTTCCGTTCCTCTCCCTCCGCTCGCCTCGCTCCCCTCACTCGCCTCCTCCTGCCATGTGCCACTCAAGAAGCGGCGAACACTGCTGCTGCTACTGCTGGTTGTGTGTTCACTTATCTGGCCAGCCTCAGCAGAGGCAGGTATGCCTTGATTGCTCCCGTTAGTGCTATTGCTGTTAGCACCGAAGTTCAAAGCTTCCCCAGTGCTAGTGGCCGCAGCAGCACCAGCCGCAGGAGGAGCACTGGTCGCAGCAGCAGCAGCCGCAGCAGCAGCTGTAGCAGTGGCAGTGGTAGCAGCAGCGGCAGCATTATCAGTTGCAGAAGAGGCAAACGGAGCAGCGGAGGTGGGCGGGAGAGCAAGGGAGGCGTTAGCCCAGGAGACGTCTCTCTTTTGCGACACGATTGTGAGATTCCACGACGTGAGTACATGGAGGTGCGTCTGGCTCAGATGCTGCTTGTAGTTGGGGGAGAAGCGCAGGTTGGCGCAGCCAACGGACAGAAATGCCCTGGGGGAAGTGAGGAAAAGATGGCAAGGGAGGAAGGAGAAAAGAAGGGGAGGAAAAGAGAGAGGGAGAGGGAGGGGGGAGGGGAGAGAGCAAGGGAGGCGTTAGCCCAGGAAGCGTCCCTCTTTAGCGGCACGATCGTGAGATTCCACGACGTGACTACATAGAGGTGCGTCTGGCTCAGATGCTGCTTGTAGTTGGGGGAGAAGCGCAGATTGGCGCAGCCTACACTCAGGAATGCCCTGGGAGGAATGCGAGATGAGAGGGAGAGGAAAGGAAAGGAATGCATAGGGCGAAAGAGAGGGAGGAAATGAGGCTCAGGTGCTACTTGCAGCTGGGGGAGAACCGCAGGTTGGCGCGCAGCCGACACTTAAGAATGCCCTGAGAGGAGTGAGAGAGGAGATGCACCAGCACATCAGAAGCAGATGGAGTAAGAGGGGAAACGAGGCTTATATGCTGCTAGCTGAGAATTGGCACGATGGGTTGGCACGATGGGTAGGGATGGGTGTAAGGTGAATCAACACATTGCTGGGTGGAAGCCAGGGGGGACATCAAAGGGCGGGTTGACGCACCTGTACTGCCCCACATTCCAGAGGAGGTAGGAGAGGGCGAATTGCAAGCAGGCGGAAGGGTCAAGCTCAATCATTCCCTCTGCTGTACCCCAGTCATGACTGACACTACACCCATTCCCACCCATCCCCACCACTTCCCACCCCTTCATACGCACCTGTACTGCCCCACGTCCCAGAGGCGGTAGGTGAGGGCGAGCTGCGAGCAAGCGGGGGGGTCGAGGCAACGCACGTTGCCATGAGCCCAATAGCTGCCTACACCATAGATGGCTCACCCTATACCCATTCTAAACCATTTCCACACCTTTCCACCCCCTCCCCACCCCTTTCCACGCACCTGTACTGCCCCACGTCCCAGAGGCGGTAGGAGAGGTCGAGCTGCGAGCAGGCAGGGGGGTCGAGGCAACGCACGTCCCCATGGGAGAGAGCAGGGCCCTTGAGGATTAGCGTCATGTCCTTCTTCCACCAGCTGGCATTGGGGTAGATCTGAGTGTCGAGAAAGGGGAACAAGGGGAAAGGGTGAGGAGAACGGAACTAGTGTGTGTCTAGAACACAGCACAGCTCCATAGGAGGCAGAGTGCAGGGCCCTTGAGGATTAGCGTCATGTCCTTCTTCCACCAGCTGGCATTGGGGTAGATCTGGTGGGGAGATGGGGGAACACGGGAAGGTAGGAGGGAAGGGATAAAGAGGGAAGGTGTGAGTGAGCGAGATGAGGGAAGGTGTGAGTGAGGGAGATGAGGGAAGGTGTGAGTGAGGGAGATGAGGGAAGGTGTGAGTGAGGGAGATGAGGGAAGGTGTGAGTGAGGGAGATGAGGAGAGGTGGGAGTGAGGGAGATGAGGGAAGGTGAGAGTGATGAGGGAAGGTGTGAGTGAGGGAGATGAGGGAAGGTGTGAGTGAGGGAGATGAGGCAAGGTGTGAGTGAGGGAGATGAAGCAAGGTGTGAGTGAGGGAGATGAGGGAAGGTGTGAGTGAGGGAGATGAGGGAAGGTGTGAGTGAGGGAGATGAGGGAAGGTGTGAGTGAGGGAGATGAGGGAAGGTGTGAGTCAGGGAGATGATGGAGATGGGGCAAGGTGCAACACCCACCCCCACCCATCCAATACCCTCCTGCACCTTTTCACCCATCTCATAGCCACCAGCACCCATCCCAAACCCACCTGCACCCAGCTGGCGGGGGCGTTGATCCAAACGTGCATGCCACACTCCCTCCCACGCACACAGCGTGCACACCCCCTCTCGCCCATCCCACACCCACCCATCTCAAACCCAGCAGCACCCATCTCAAACCCAGCAACACCCATCTCAAACCCAGCAGCACCCATCCCAAACCCACCTGCACCCAGCTGGCCGGGGCGTTGACCCAAACGCGCATGCCGCACTCCCTCCCACGCACACAGCGCGCACACCCCTTTCCGCCCACCACCACCCCCGGGGGAAGCTGGTTGCGCGGAACCAGATGGTGGCCCTTCCATGGGGCTGATGGGGTGAGAAGAAGGGGGAAAGGGAGGGCGGAAGGAGTTGAGGAACGTGAAGCTACGCACATTCATCCGCGCACACCCCCTTCCGCCCACCACCACCCCTGGGGGAAGGTGATTCCGCGGAACCAGATATTTGCCATTCCATGGGGCTGATGGGGGAAGAGAAGGGGGAGGGGGAGGGCAGTAAAGGGAAGAGAGGAACGAGGAAGGGCGAAAGGACATGAGAAAGGGAACATTGTGAGGGAGGAGGAAACAAAAAAGGGGATTGTTAGAGGGAAGGAGATGGGGAATATGAAGCTTCATGCGCGCGCTACCCGCGCACACCCCCTTTCGCCCACCACCATCCCCGGGGGAAGGTGGTTGCGCGGAACCAGATAGTGACCCTTCCACGGGTCTGATGGGGGGAGAGAAGGGCGGAAGGGGAGGGCGGAAGGAGTTGGGGAACGTGAAGCTACGCACACCTAGCTAGCAGGGCACACCCCTTTCCGCCCACCACCACCACCGGGGGATGGGGGTTGCGCGGAACCAAGGCAAGGCCCTGCTGCGGGGCTGATGGGAGAGACGGGAGAAGGGGAGGGGAACGAAAAGAGAGGAACGAGGAAAGGCGGAAGGAGACGAAGCGAGAAAGGGGAGCATTGGGGGAGAGGAGATGAAAAAAGAGGAATGTTGGCGGGGGGGAAGGAGAACCCGTGGGGTCATGCACTCCCGCCTATCCACACAGAGCGCACACCCTCTTCCCCGCTCCGCCACCCCTGCGGGAAGGTGACTGCGCGGAACCAAGGTGTGGCCCTTCCTACGGACAGATGGAGAGAGAGGAGGGGGGAGGGAGGATCGAGGAAAGGGCGGAGGGGGATGAGAAAATGGCGGAGGGGGATGAGGAAAGGGGAGCATTGGGGGCGTTGGGAAGAAGGAGACGGAGAGTAGGTCATGCACTTCCCCCCCCCCCCCGCGCACTTCCACGTCCACCTACCACCGCCTTTGCACATGCAAAGAGAGAGTGTGGGTTGATGGGGAAAGAAGGAGGAGGCGGAGGGGGGGCAGCAGTTCCAAAAGGGGACGATAAGGGAGATAAGGAGGACAATCACACGAATTCTCGAGAATTCTGTGACATTCCACAACCTTATCACTAGTAACAGCTACCCACAGAGGTTCAGTGGACGTGCTCTAATGACCTCCAAATCAAACCCAACCCAAACCAAATACTCGGGCTCACCCGAGGAGGCCCAACAAACGGGATCAAGCCCCTTCTGAGAATTCTCAAAAGCAACGCAGATTCAGCCGAATCCTGGGTAACCCCAGCAGGTCAGATTTAGCCCAACACCAGAACTGCATAACTCACCCGAGGAGGCCCAACAAACGGGCTCGAGCCCCTTCTCACCTTGGCGGAATCCTTTCCCCCATTCGCCGCGCCCACCTCTCGGTGCCGCACCCTCCAGCAAGCATGTTTTAATGCATTCAGAACCAAACCCGGAAACCCGGCCCAATGCCAGAACCGCGTAACTCACCCGAGGAGGCCCAACAAACGGGTTCCACCTCCTCCTTCGCCTCAGCGGAGCACTTTCGCGCATCCGCTGCAGCCCCCCCTCTCAGTGCCGCCGCCCCCTAGCAAGTATGTTCTACTGCATTCAGAACCAAACCCGGAAATCCAACCCCAGAACTGCGTACCTCACCCGAGGAGGCCCTACAGACGTGTTCCACCCCCTCCTTCGCCTCGGCAAACACTTTCCCCCATCTGCCACGCCCCCCTCTCAGTGCACTCCCCTCCCTCCCCCTCCTCCCCCCCCAACCCCAAACCCCAAACCCCAGAATCATGTGGCTCACCTGAAGAGGTCCAGCAGACGTGTTCAAGCCGCGGCTCCTTCCCCTCGGCGGAACCCTCTCGGAGCTGCTGCGCCCCCTCGCCGGCTTCTCCCCGTCCTCCTCGTCCGTCCCTGTCACCTGCGACGTTGCTCGCAGCGCTGCTCCCCCGCCCCTGCGACCCCGCTGCGACGCCTGCGACGGCTGCTGCTGGTCGCCCTGCGACGAGCTTGTCCGCGAGCGACCACTCGGACGAATCCAGCGACGCCTCGTTGGCGTCGGTGGCGGCGGTACTGCGAGTCGGATTCGGAGCGGGGGGAAGGGAAGGGGGCAAGGACTTAGGGGGCAAGGATTTGGGGGAAGTAAAGCTTGTGAGTCGAATCCAGCGACGCCTCGCTGGCGTCGGTGGCGGCGGAACTGCGAGTCGGATTCGGAAAAGGGGACGAGGTATCGGGGGAAGAAAAGAGAGGGGGGGGGGGGGGTGGGGGGGTTGGGTGGGTGTGGGGCGGGGGAAGATGGGGCAAAGGAGGGGGGAGATGGGGGATGGGGGGGAATGGGGGCGGGGAGGTCTTTTGGGTTTGAATGGAGGGTTGGGTTGGGAAAGTGGAACTCGAGGAATGGAACTACTTTAGGAAGGAGGAAAAAGTGTGAGGATTAAGGGACTGGAACTATGAACAGGGCAAGCATAATGAATTGCGTTGCTCTCCCACAATCCGTCACTTCCAAGTTGGGTTCACAATTCCCGCCGGTCCCGTTACAAGCTGTTTCACTTACCTCTGTACAGGCACGTCCTTCGCTAGTAGCGTCGTCATTCCCTTTCCCCCAGCGCTGGTCACGCCTCGGTAATCATAGTAACTGCTTCTCGCGGCGTACGGCGACGCTTGCCAGGCGATTAAAAAGAGCAGAATTAGGTTTAGCAGAACAACGTAGTACTTGCGTATACCCTCCGGCATCGCTTTGCATAGTCCCGAACCCGTTGGTCCCGAGCCGCCAGACGCCGGTGTTAATCCAACGGCTGGTCTCTTGGTTTTGCTGGCGGACCCGACATCAGAGACCGTCGTAAAACTTAACGGTTGGTCGAGCCGCGGCTTGCTCTGTTGCTGGCTCTGCTGAAATTGGCTTCTCATTCGTTTAAGATCCCACATTTTGGAATGTTCCACTAGCAGTGACTCTACGTCTGGTAGTTGTTAATTGACGGCTGGTAGGCTGGTCGCTTAGGAGCCGCTGTCCAAGTCCCCAACCTCCCGAGGGTTCTTAGGACCGGCGAGGTTTTTTAGAAGCACTTTGAGCCAATCAGGATCGGTTCGGACGTTTCCAAGTTTACCCTCACTGAATAGGGGTTTGCATAAAAACGAGAATATGGCTGGGAAACGAGCTGGACTAATCGGGTCGTAATCTAAACGCCATAACGGCGTAGTAAGCTGGGCCTGTGAGATTGATGCAATCTACAGGTTATATGTCAACTAGGCGATACTAATTTTAGCCTGAAAAGGAGGTTGCCTGACAAGGGGAACTAATACTAGTAGCAGCGGTTCGAGAACCGAGACCCAGAAGACAACTGCGGCACGTAGTAGAAGAAAGGCCACGAATTGGCCTCTTCTCGAATGACTTGAACGTTTACTGGTTCCAGTTCACTTCCTGCCACGACTTTTAACTAGGTAGACCACGGTTCACAGCACGGGTGATCTTAATTCGTCGGGGATGCATCGCTGAACGATCGTTAGACGATCTAAGCCGACTCGCGGCGCGTGACTAAACTCGCCTGCCTGTTGCTACAACCCGCGATAGGTAGGAAAGGAACGTTTGGCTTCGAAACGGCACCCGAGTACTTAGTGAGTTCCTACAGTAAGATACTACATAAATAGTAACCTCACCCACCATAACTGTGTTCTGGCATTTTCTCTGTCAGCTGTGGTCTGGTGAAGGAACATTGATACCCCTCTCGCGAAAACTCTGGGTTGGTAACACTCTCTTCGCCAAAACCAGCACTAGCCGTTGTGGGGGAAGTGAAGACTCCACAATACTGGCGAAAAAACAAAACCAAACCAAACCCGCCAGCCCTACCCCAACCACGTCGCAAATGGAGGGCTAAATGGGGGAGGAACCGACCGAACCGAAACTCACGGTTCCTCCTCTCCCGCAAACTGTGAGGCTTCTTCGCACGACGGGTCGTAAGGAACGAAAATCGCTCTCCCCTTCTGATGCGCGATTCGTCAGAGAAACTGTTCGCGTTGTAGTGTGGTAATTTCTGTACGATACAAGCATGACAAAGTCAGCAACATGCTTGTGATGAGCATAACCACAAAAACATCCAACGCTATGGTCTGAATTCAGGCACAATTGCATTATATTTACATAAAACGTGTTCACACGGTGATTTTCATGCCAAATGTACCAGCTTAATGACATGCGTAAATACAACCAGATTCATGCTCTATTTGTACATAAATCATGCATACGCTTTTTATTGGTAGGTCCACATTATTTCTTGGAACATAGGGAGCCAATAATGGCCACATCTTATCAGTCCCCTCGCTCCCCCCCATGCTCTATGTAATGAATCAGGGACCTCACAACAGCTTCCCCAACATCGCCTCTCATCACCACCTTCCCCCTCCCATCCGATCCGTAGCAGTGGAAGTGATGATCGCGAGGACACACATCCATAAACCGCGGCGCCTCCACTTGCCAGCTGTCAAAGAACTCAATATGGGGGACAGCTCTACCAGCCATACCAGGACCACCACCACCACCACCAGAACTGCCAGCGTTCACCTGGTCAATCAGGTGTTTGGTCAGGCGGTTAGCAGCGGAGAGAAAGAGGTTGGTGGCGGGGCCTTCGTAGATGCGGCTGGCAATGTTGCAGCTGTCCCCGCCGTTGGGCACTGGCGGTGCAGAGCGCATGATCAGCCGAACCCGGCGACTCGTGCCCATGACTGCTGCCCTTTTGACATCGACGGTAGTGGTGGTGCTGCTGCTTGTCGTGTTACCGCGTAACAGGCGTTCTGCCCTATCACCACCACGTGTTGTTCCTGACTGCCTGGTGACAGCAGCTGCTGAAGCCCCCCTCAGGCTGGCCCCGCTTGGTGCTGGAGAGACAGGCGACGAGAATGCACCACCAGAAAGGGGGGCTGAACCACTCGGGTCTGAACCAGCAGGAGAGGAATCACCAAGGCTTGTGTCAGATGCAGCAGCAGCAGCAGAGGAGGCTTGGGAGGCAGAAGCAGCAGCAGCAGCGGCGGTGGCTTGGGACTGGGCCCAGGCGAGGTATTGAGGGAGGTGGGTGCGGAGGGCGGTGAGCGGATGCAAACAACGCTTGCCAGCCCAATAGCCACTGTTGATGATGATGACGTCACTTGAGAGGGAGATGTTGGGGAAGGAGTCGTAGTGCTGCGAGAAGGCCCCTCTGTGCCTGGTAAGTGGAGAGGGATGGGGATGGGGAGTGGGGGGGAGGGGATGGTGCGAGATTGGACAGGTCAGCGCTTCTAGATGTTGGGGAAGGAGTCGTAGTGCTGCGAAAAGGCCCCTCTGTGCCTGTTGGGAGTGGGGGGGATTCGGAGAGGATTATGGAAAAGTTTTGAAGCAGTTCATAGGTGGGGGGGATGTGTACGGGGACGAGGAACGGAAGGGGGGTGGGGATGGGAATGGGGATGGGAATGGGGATGGGGATGGGAATAGGGATGGGAATGGGAATGGGGATGGGGATGGGGATGGGGATGGGGATGGGGATGGGGATGGGGGTGGGGATGGGGGTGGGGATGGGAATGGGGATGGGGATGGGGATGGGAATGGGGATGGGAATGGGGATGGGAATGGGGATGGGGATGGGGATGGGAATGGGGATGGGGATGGGGATGGAATGGGGATGCGGATGGGGATGGGAATGGGGATGGAATGGGGATGGGAATGGGGATGGGGATGGGGATGGAATGGGGATGCGGATGGGGATGGGAATGGGGATGGAATGGGGATGGGAATGGGGATGGGAATGGGGATGGGAATGGGGATGGGAATGGGGATGGGAATGGGGATGGGAATGGGGATGGGAATGGGGATGGGAATTGGAATGGGAATGGGAATGTGAATGGGGATGGGAATGGGGATGGGGATGGGGATGGGAAAGGGGATGGGAATAGGGATGGGAATTGGAATGGGAATGGGAATGTGAATGGGGATGGGAATGGGGATGGGAATGGGGATGGGGATGGGAATGGGGATGGGAATGAGAATGAAAATGAGAATGGGAATGGGAATGGGAATGAGAATGAAAATGAGAATGGGAATGGGAATGGGAATGGGAATGGAAGTGGGAATGAGAAGTGAAATTGGGAATGGGAATGGGAATGGGAATGGGAATGGGAATGGGCACTCACGTGCAGCCGAACTCGCCGTTGCGGTAGATGCCATCCACCCAGTAGAAATGGGAGCAGGGAGCAGAATAGCAGATACGGGGGTGGGAAGGGAAATGGGGGGGGGTTAGGGAGCAGGCAGAAGGGCCACTCACGTGCAGCCGAATTCGCCGTTATGGTAGATGCCATCCACCCAGTAGAAGTTAATCCTCAGCGTCTCGTTCCTCCCGTTCCGCGCCACAAACGCCAAATCATGCCGCCCCTTCCGGTTCGCCAGGTCGGCCTCGCCCGACAGCATGTAGAAGAGGTGGGCGGCAAGCATGCGGTGGTGCGAGTCCCCCGCGATCGAGATCTCTCTGATGCCTCGCCGGGTGAGGGAGGAGATCCATTCACCCACTGGCGTCTCTGGTGTGGCACAGGGGAAGGGTACCCACTTCCATGGGCTTTTACTCTTGCTGCTCTTGCCGCCACTGCCACTGCTGCCACTGCTGCCACTACTGCCACTGCGACTGCGATTGGCAATGGCATCAACACTGCCAGCATCGCTCTCAGGATCAATCTCAAGCCATCTTCCCATAACTGACGACCCATTGCACAGACCACTGCTCGCTTTCCCCTCCCTTTCCTGTTCACCGCCTGTACTAGTCAGCTGCGTCGTGTCCTCTTCCTCGTTCTCTTCTCGGTTCTCAGATTCGTCTGCTTCCTCTTCTAGAACACGTGGCGGTCCAGGATTGGCCGAGTCTGCTTGAGGCGTGTGAAACGCAGCTGTGGAGTTTCCTACTCGCTCCTCTTCGTTTGGTAACATCTGAGTTGACTCAAGTGGGACTGAGTCGTCTCGAGGCGTGTGAAACGCAGCTGTGGAGTTTCCCACTCGCTCGTCTAAACTTGCTGCCTCGCCCCCCACACTTGACTGCCCTGCAGTGGCCAGCAGCAGCAGCCGGCGGGTGAAATCCTCGTTAGTGGCTGCTTCGTTATGAGATGGCTGGTTAGTGGCTGCGGCTTCGTTTAGAGAGGTGGATGGTGTGTCGGCTAGGAGGGGTGTGTTGGCCGGGAGTGTGTGTGAAGATGGGAGGATTGTGATGGTCCAAGCTGCCACGTCATGGGTGACGTCAGCAGTGTTGGGAGAGGAGGAGGAGGAGGAGGAGGAGGAGGAGGAGGAGGAAGAGGAGGAGGAGGAGGAGGAGGAGGAGGAGGAGGAGGAGGAAGAGGAGGGTGCAAGGAGGAGGTTAAAGCATCCTGCTTGGAGGGAGGCCCTGTGATCAGGAGGGAATCAGAAGTGGAAAAAAAACTCTAGAAGGCGTTAGAACACGTAGGATGGGGCATCATGAGAAGAGGACAGAAGACCAAGATTTTAGACATGAGAGGAACGCATGAGGAGAGATGATGATGCTCGAGAAAACAAGGAGGTAAGATTAGGCTAGTGTAGGCACTATGAAAACAGCTTATCAGTCTCTACAAGAACAGTTTATCAACCACTCACCGGTACGTCCCGGTGTCCCAGGCTCGGTAAGCAATGACGAATCGGGAGCAGGCGGGAGGGTCGGCACAGACAGGGTCGGCGTGGAGCAGCGAGGGGCCGGTGAGGGAGAGAGCGAGCTCACGCTTCCACCAACTCAGCACGGACGAGTTTGCGGGAGGGGCGGGCGGAGCAAATTGTAGAGGATCATTCAGCACGGATGAATTGGAGGGATAGTTTAATGGCGATGCTGTGGTTGCAGTTGTGGGGGTGGTGGTGGTTGTTGTGCTGCTGCTACTGCTGTCGTTGCTGGTCGCGTCGGCAACGGGAGGGAGCGTCCACGTGGCGCCTGGCGATTGGACGCTGATGAAGAACGTGCAGGTCTGGCCTACAGTGCAGGTGGAACAGCCTCTGCCGTATACAAACAGTCCGCCTTGCGTTGTAGCGGGTTCTGGTGCTGCTTGTAACGGGGATGCTGGCTCTGCTGACGTGGACGACCAACAGAGCGGAAGATCCGGAGTGTGAGGAACCCATGAGGTTGATAGTAACACGTCATCATCACTAGAAACCGCGTCAGGACCCGCCACAGCAGTGTACAGCTCAACTGCCAGGTCAGCATCCAGCGAACCAGCAGTTACATTCTCAGTTGTGCGGCTGCCAGCAAGAATCAACGGCTGTTGTGGAGCCGCCGGCCCGTACGTATCATCAATGGACGGCTCAGATTTGCGCGTCTCAGAATTGGTCAACATTAGTGGTTGTTTCTGTGGCGCGGGCTTTCCCCGCAGTTGATGCAATCCTGGGACCGCTTCTAACGAGACAACGTCTGTCGAGACTCGTTGTGACTGCGACGAGTGTGGCTTTGACGCACGGAATTCCACTTGAAGCGAGTCAGCTCTTAGCGAGGATGGAAAGGGAGGGGAGGCTTGCGGATTGGAGGCGGGTGACCAGGCGAAGAAACTGCGCGCGTAGGGGGTGAAGTGGCAGAAAGGGAGGGGGAGGGGAGGGAGGGAGGAGGGGAGGGAGGAGGGGAGGGAGGAGGGGAGGGAGGAGGGGAGGGAGGAGGGGTGGGGAAGGGAGCAAGTTTTGAGAATTCTCAAGAGTCGCACCAATATAGATTGCGGATTGGAGGCGGGTGACCAGGCGAAGAAACTGCGCGCGTAGGGGGTGAAGTGGCAGACAGGGAGGGGGAGGGGAGGGAGGGGGTGAGGGAGGAGGGGTGGGGAAGGGAGCAAGAGTTGCGGAAGTAGGAAAATGCACGCGGCAGTGACCAGGCAAAGGAAGTGCGCATGTCGGGGGTATGGGGGTATGGGGTATGGGGTGGGGGGGGGAGGGGGAGGATGGGGATGAAAGCAAGGACGGCGGGGTTCGAAGATGGGGGGAGGTCTGGGGATTCACGCGGTGGGGGCAGGCGGAGAAAATGCAGAATGGGGGACCGAAACGGAAGGAAAGAGGGGGCGGCGGGGGTGATGTGGGGGGAGGGAAACGGGAGGAAGGGCTGGGGAGAGTTGGGAGATGGGGTACAGGGAGGTTGGCGGGGACGGTTGAGGGAGGTCCGAGGATTGACGCTCGTATCATAGGAAGAAACCGTGCACACGGGGAGGTGAAAAGACAGAAAAATAGGGGTGGAAGTGGGGGGAGGGGGGGTTGTGGGGGGTTGGAGGGGGTAAGAAACTGTGTACAGGGGGGAGTGTTCTGGCGGAGAGGCCAGGGGCAGAGGGGACGGTAGTGGAGGATGAATTAGATTATAATCGATTTGGGAGTTACCTATACTTCTCACGTAGATTACCACTCTTGCTTTACGTATGCACCTATATTCATGCCTTCGTTCGTGCCTGAGTCCGTACGATCATACACACAGCCGTACGCACCGCCGTACGCACCGCCGTACGTACGCACGAATCTACGCACCTCGGAAGCCCGTCCGCGCTGTTTTCAAGTTTCATCTCCTCGAGATCCGCGACGGGCGGCCGGCTGCTCCAATCACCTTGCGACACGTGGCGCCACAGCTGCACGGCCACCAGCGCGACGAGGAGGAAGTCGATTAAGAGGTAGTGCCAGCGGCTCCGCACCACGTCCACAGCCAGCTCGCGCAGCGCAGCGGCGCGCTCGGCGATTAATCTCCGCACCCGCAGTCTCCCTTCCCGAACGCGTTTCGCGTCTCGAATATCTCGATCATCGTCTCGATCATCGTCTCGACTATCGTGTCCCATCCTGTCGACCTCCATCTTTGTTACTGCCTCTGTTGACTCCGTTGACTGCGCTGACCACCCTTACTGCTTGCAGATCTTACTGCTTGTCTCGCTGCTAGCTCGTGGAAGTACTTTGACAACTGAGTTGTGCGGCGCCGCCTACTGCCCCGTCAGTGCCCGCGGAGTGTCGATGCTTTCAAGGGTGACGGAACTACGAATGCGCTATTTGAGACGTCTCAAAACCCGCCGAGCGTTGATGCTTTCAAGGTTGTATAGATTATTGAGTGCGCTAAAAAAAGAAAAAAAAATCGTATGGAAGCTAGTCGAACGGTAAGCTAGTATGCCAGGAACGCATGTAATCGGAACACAACGGCGCGTGGGAAAGAAGAGCTTCCAAGTGTCTGATACATTTATTGAATGGGTGCTACCCACATGTGCATTGAACGCGACCGTCAGTCTCTCAGTAACGCATAACTCTGTCTGAAGGTTGGGCTGGGTGCAGGCGTCGTTGTGATGGCTCGGAGGATGATGGTGAGCCATAGTCCACGATTCACATCACAATTCATGGCCGTGTCCACAAGACTCACAGCAAGAGCACAAACAATCAGCGCCGTTCCTTTCACACAGCCCACATTCGACAAGCCGAACAACACACAAGTGGGATGGAACCGATGTCGTACACGTTGGGGCACCATGTAAACTCAACTTGACCGATTTCAACCGTGGTCGGAGTTCTTTGACCAAATTCTCCCGATTGCTCGTGCTGAAGCGGCACGATTTGGCGCACTGATGACGAAATCAATTTGGAACTCGCGCGACGCGGGAGGATGAGCCCGCCATTCTTGTGTGCGCACCCGAGACGCGTTTGTAATTTTCGTGCCCCAATGCGGTAACATGCGAAGCGAAAGAAGAAAGAATAGTCATTCGTAAGCACAATGACGCAATGCGGTACACTCGCAGACTCCCCAACCATACACAATAGACGACAGCCCATAAGAGAAGCAATTCTGGACTGGTGGTGATACATTATGGGCTGCAAAATATTACAGATTAACAATTGCTACAGGCTTCGGAAACCCCTCAAAGCCAAGTCTTGATTACGTAGCTATAGTCACCAAAAACAAGACTCCACTTGTGGTCTAGACAAATATTATTTAGGCAAAACTTACTGCTGAAACAAAATCAACAGAAGGCTCCTAACAAATGTACAACGTGTACAAGTACCACATTCAATCTAGGCAGCTTACTTGAAGAACCCTTTCCTCTTGCCAAAGAACCCTTTCCTCTTGCCAATGAACCCCTTCCTCTTGCCAAAAAACCCCTTGCGTTTGCCACGGAAAAGACCTTTACGCTTGCCAATGAAGCCCTTGAACTTCCTCCCCTTGAACTTGTGCTTGTGGTGGCCCACATGCACGTGAGCCACATGACCAGCTGCATTTCAACACCACACAAAACCGCAAAGCAACATGGAACAGAAGAATAGCACCCTCTTGAGAAATGCGAGTGAGGCATTTTCCGCAGCCAGCATACACGAATGGCGACATTCGGTTAACCAGGTGCCAGAAATTCGCCGTCGCTGATACAAAGGCGAACTAGAAGCGAACATGTTTCTTGCACTGACTTATCTTAGCTACCTCTCCCGCTTCTTTTGGGTGGGCGAAGGAACATTCGACAAGATTTTTATGTCGAAAAGATTCCTTCATTTAATGGCTTTCTCACCCCGCATTCGACATGTGTTGCTAACTTCGAACCCTAAACAGCACCGATTTCTCTAGATAATGGAGTCAACGCGTCAATCTTACCTGGGTAACTGTAGGTCACTCGGGGTGGTGAATCCGCATCTACAAATGCATTTCCACTCTAACAGCAGCAATATTCTGCGCGATTCATGGCGCAATCCGCGGTTTAACCCTTCAGGCTCACCTGGGTAGCCGTGGGGTGCAGGGTACGCAGAACCAGACGGGTAGCCGGCAGGCGGGTATCCTTGAGGGGGATAGCCGGCGGGAGGCGGGTACCCCTGTGGCGGATATCCCTGAGGTGGGTAGCCCGCGGGTGGGTAACCCTGTGGAGGATATCCTTGAGGGGGGTAGCCGGCAGGTGGAGGCGGGTAACCCGGCTGCGGAGGGTAACCCTGAGGAGGGTATCCTGGGTAACCCTGCGGAGGCGGATAGCCGTAAGGATACCTCGGATCTGCAGGAAGGCGTGCACGGATACAGATAAGGCCAATGTAGCAGTTATAATGATGCACTAGGATCTAACATAAAAATAACATGTTAGACGAAGCGCGCACTGAAGAGTAGTGGGAGCCACGTCAAATGAAATTACTCATCCGAGTTACATGCGACAATGGATTCTTACCCGACATGATGTCGGGAGATGACGGATCAGAAACCAGTTATGGCTGCCGCTTTAGCTCGGAAGCTGAGCCTAAGTGCCAGACTGACAGCTTGCAAGTCGGACAGCACTGCTTTCATACAAGCAGCTGACAACCAAGCCCCTTCCAAGCCCCATCGTCTCCCCCAGCCCAAGGCGGTGGTCTGAATTTGTCTTCCTGCAGAGAACCAGGGAAACGGGGCAAAAGCATAGGTATGGGGTGGTTCAGGACGCGTCACCTGAAGGCCAACCCTGCGATCGAACCTACGTAGGTTCGATTTTTCACGTGGTTCAAAAAACGTCTAGAGGTTTTGAATGCAATACACAGGTTTTTGGTGCGGTCGAAGATCGGTTTTTGCACGATCGTGTGAGGGCAGAGTTGTGTCGGAGACTCGTCATGTTGAGTTTGGTTTGGTGTATGCCAGAGGCCCTTTGTACGGTGCAGTGCGTTTTGATATGGTGATATGTGGCAAATCACACCCTCCCTCTGTCCCAGCCTGATTTTTTCTTCCCCCAGTTTTTTGGGGGGGTGAATCCCACCACTAGGGGAGTTCCGCATACTGTATTTCCTGGCCCAAGCAGGCACTGGACTGGAAGCTCCCCGCGTGGGGCAGCACAGCATCTGTTCGCCACAGTCCATCCGGGCCCTGGTGGGTTCGAATCCACCAGGTCCCCCTCCTGATGGAACCGAGTTTCCACCAGGGCCGCACGCGGATGCAAGCCCTGTCGCGGCCCCCAGCTGGGAAACGCACGCGAGCGGGGGTCTTCCGCCCGCCTGCAAGTCCCTAGCGAGATTCGGGCGGCGGAGTCAGCTGGAGTGGGATGTTCATACGGCGCGGCTCGGGAAAAACCCCGCCCACGCCTTGGGATGCACGGGGCGCGGAGACATCGGGGGACGCGTGAGGCAAAGTCGGCCCTCCAGAAATCCACCAGTTTTGGACCTTGCGCGGCCCTGCGTGGCTCAGTGAAACCCACCAGGTTTCCACCGAAAGCTCCGCGACCCCCCCAAAAACCGAAAGAACCCACCTCGTTCTTACGCGCCGATGCATGCGCGACTCGGGAAAAAACCAACGCGATTGGTCAACAGACCTTGACAGGCAGGGCATTCCGCGCATGCAACTGCGCGAGCGGGAAAAACAGGAGTGCTACCATTGGGTGCGAAGTCTCGCATCAAATCGCGAACCGAATTCGCCCATCGATAGGCTTGGGAACCGCGACGCAACACCCGGTTCGGAAACACCTGGCGCGATCTGGTAGGCTCCATGCTGACTGACACGTGCAGCACATTGAACGAGCCACACAGCTGTCGCTGTTTGGTCGAGCCGCGATCGCAGTAACGTGTCATGCACGTCCACGCGGTGGCCGGTCATTACTCCCAGCATGCCCACATTTTCGCTTTCCGCACGCCAGTTGCACCACAGGCTCCTCCCTCTCATGCCACACTGGAGTCACCTGACCTGACGGGAAACGGGACACTAGTGCCGCGTTAGCGATGTGGGCCGCGTTCGAGAGCCTGTGAGCACCACGGTCGCGTTGTACAGAGTACACTTCACACCCTGTTGTCACATTAGCGATCGCGCGTCATGTTGACGCACGCGGTTTATAGGAGTAGGGGCAATGTCGCACGCTGCATGCATACCGTGAATTGCGTCGCGGCGCCAATCCTTGAAGCCTCCGTCAATGCTTCGGCTAATCCTTCCGCGGCCGAAATCCATAATGCAGATCCGCCAAGCGCTCCCGTGGCCAACATGCACGCGCACATCCCCACATGGAGCACCCCACACGTGCAGCCTGTGGTTTTTGGCACGCGTTTGCTCGCGTTTCACCCACAGCAACTGGTCAACGGGCTCCACCTAGCACCGCGGACACAGATACCGTTTGCATCGGCGACGGTCGCGTTCCATGCCCAGCAGGATGATTTGAACTCGCGTGGAGTATCCACGCCGCATCCCGGACAAAGGCTTGCTGAACACCAGACCGCGTACGCGTCCATGCCCTCAAACCAGCTCTTTGGGATGCCCGTGCGTGGCTTCGTAGGGCCGCAGTACGGGAATGTGGGATTCAGGTACGGGTACATTGGCGTTCAACCGGACCCCATGCTGAACGCGCCCGAAGCTGTCGCGACGCCTCCGGTCGCGCCGTCAACCCCATTCCCCAGCGCGATTCAACCGGAAATCCAGGCACCAGTGCAAGCCCCGCGTGACCGCATAGAACCATTACAGATGGGTGTGGACACCCCTGCGCGTGCAGACGGCCCTTCGACGGTCGCGGTTCCCGATGGTTCAGTGCGTGCGGAGAATGTTGGTGCGGGGATGAATGCCAGCGCGCGTGCACATTCGCCGCCAATTTGGAACGTGAACTCGCTGTTGCCGGGAAACCCGGACGTCCACATCCGCACCCCCGCGCAACCGACTGCAGCGGACGAGAACTGTGAAGGTGAACAACCACAGGCGAACGCGCGGAACGCGGTACGAGGAGCGCCTGCTGGTGGTAACGCGGGAAGCGGAAGAGGGACTGGTGCAAGGGGTAACGCGGGAAGAGGAAGAGGTGCAGCTGCGAGAGGGAACGCGGGAAGAGGGACAGGTGAGAGTGCGAGAGGTACTAGAGGAAGGGGTGGGAGAGCGAACGCGGGACGTGGGACCGGTGTGGGACGGAACGGAGGTAGTGCGAACGGGCGGAGCGCGCCTGGGGTGTTAGGCAACGGAGGCAGAGAACCCGGTGGTAACGCGAGCGGAGGTACCGGGAACGTCCCAGTCAGTAGACCGCAAGTAAGGAGGCGGCGAGTCGAAGTCGCGCCTCACACGGCACGCCTCGGATCGCGAGAGGGTAACGAAGGGGAAAGCGATGAGGATGACGAGGAGGACGCTGAAGATGAGGAAGATAATTGGAATGAAGATGACGAAAACTACCTCTCTAACTCGTTGTCCGCGCTCAACGAGGGAGAGGAGGAAGACAACGAACGAGTGCGGGGTACGCGAACGGATTTGGAGGTTCCCATCGCGGATTGGAACCGGCTTGGTGTGGACGACACGCCGGTCGCGAAAAAAGAGGTGTGCATGGGCATCCTCTACGGTGTCTCTGAAGCCACGCTGAAGAAATATCGCGGTTGGGCAAGAGAGTACAAGCTCTTCATGGCGCACGAGCTGCCGAAGCTGGACGCGAATAGGTTCGGTGAGGAGGCCGCGTTGGAAAACGCGAACCCCGACGAGATCGGGGCCGCGCTCGAGCAGGACATGGGTGCTGACTGGAAGATGGCGAAGGGCGACGAGCAGTGGTTCCACGGCCCTGAGACGAATCCGTGGAGGTTACGCAAATACGTGACCTTCCTCGCGAACGAGACGGTCGCCCAGGCGGACAGGATGGCCACACTCAAGCGGCCCGACAAGACCCTGAAGAAGAGACGCCAGTGCTCCCCTGCAATGCTGATGGGGCGTCTCAAGGCTCTGAACATGCTCATCAAGCTGGACGGGGCCATCTTCAGGAAGCCGGTTCTGAATCTCCTGCGCGACTTTGCGGAGTGTCGCATCTGGGTCCGCGTTCAAGTCCGCGACCAGTACAAGCGGTTCATCGCGTAAGTATACGTACTCAGTGAACGCGAATGTCCGAGTTTACCGCGTTCGTACAGAGGCTCACAATCGTGGAACGGGTTTGATGCAGGGAACACATGGATCGCCATCGGGGCACGGCCGCGGACACGTACAACCCGGACGAGTTCAAGAAGATGATGCGGAAAACCAGCATGGCCGCCATCGTGAGCAGCTTCACACTAGCCAAGCAACAGTACACGCAGGCAATGCATCGCGACCTCTGCATCAGGACGATGACGGTCCTCGGTCATCACACACTAGCTCGCGGGTGCACGATCCGAAACCTCCAGCTTCCAGACATGATGATGTGGAAGCTGGGCGCAAAATCCGAGACGGATCCAGTGCGGAATGCGTTCGCGTTTGTCTGCGCGTGCAGGACGGGCAAGACAAACAAGGACTTCTCGCTCAACTACATCTCGGCAGTGAGACACATTGATTGGACTCTGTGCGCGGTCGGAGCCACGCTGCTATGGCTGCACTGGGTGTACGACTTGGTCCCTATCCTCTACGGGGACATAGCCCCCCCTCTCGACTTCACGGAACCTTCGGCGTGGTACGACCAGTACCTCTTCTTCCCCCTTCGCGCGGGCACCGAGAAGCAGATACCGCCCACGACTCATCACGACTGGGCGGCGAAGATTCTGGGGGACGCGGGAATCACATGCTCGCGTGTCGTTCACGCGACTAGAGCTGGAGGGGCTCAGCACGCGGCCGCAGACGGAATGCCGTCGGATCAGCTGGCGAGACTGGGGGGGTGGCGCTTCATCGACGTGATGACTAAGCACTACCTCACAACTATTCCGAGGGAGGCCGTGCTCCTGAAGGCTGGCTTCACAGGGGTTGATGGTGACTACTTCCTGGGTCGCGCAACAGTTCCACCGAGAGAGGCGCTGGAGAAGCTGATGAAGAAGCACATCTTCCCATGGGCCGCCGAGGACAAAGGGCAGAAACAGGTGGGTGTGGGCCGCGCATAGTAGTATCAACACACCGCGATAATTCCACATAAACCCCTAAACTATCGCGTTGTTGTGTTGCACAGTGCCATGATTACAACAGCAAGATGGTCAAAGAGAAGAAGCCGGAGAAGCAGGACACCGCGGGTCTAAACATACTGAAGGAGCTGAACGGGGAGGCGGTCGCACAAGACCTGGCCATGTATTACATACACCAGCCGCGACACCCGTACGTGGTCAACAACCCGCTCTGCCAGACAGAGGAATTTGCGCGGTGGGCAGCAGATGTCTCCTTGGCAAATCAGCTGGCCATAGTACAGCGAAACACCCCTACACTGACCCAGCCCGCGGTGCGTACTGTGTGGTCGCGTTACTAGTTCGGTTGTAATGTCAATGCGTACCCATCACATTTTACGCGTTCGCGTTCTGTGTATGCAGGAGGTCAGTACCAGGATGGACGCGCAGAACCAAGTGGCCTGCCTCACTGAGTACCTGACACGTTCACAAGCGGACAACACCAGGTTGGCCGTAGAGCTGGCCGCGATCCAGAGACGGGTGAAAGAGCGGGCTGCTGGAAGATCGCGACCGGAGGCTGGCTGAGAAGGACGAGCGCGTGAACGACCTGGAAGCCCAGCTGTCGCGTCTCACCGTGAGCAGCTCAGGGCCGACCGCGGATCCGAGACCGGCAAACACTCCTGGAGCCGCGGCCGCGCCCACCAATTCCGCAACCCCCACCGACCAGGGGACGCGTAAGAAGCCAGCACAGCCGACCAGGGATGAGACTATTCGGGACGCGATCATGAAACCATGGGTGAACGCGACCAAGCCGTCGGACGGATGGAAGCTGTACAAGTCCACGCACGCGCTGGTAGGCGAGAGTCCAGAGTCGCTACTGGCCCAACCCCGTGGTGCAGTTACGCGAATGGCCGAGCTCATGGGGAAGGAGAAGGGCGGCCAGAACGCCGCCCAGAACGCGATAAACCGTGTGAAGCGAGTCATGGACTTCATCTCCCGTAGGGTGGAGCAGGGAGACAACATCGACGTCGTGCTCGAGAAACTCGACAACGTGTCCCGATCTGTGGGCATGTCGGGTGTGTCGGAAGGGATCGCGGTGAAGAAGAAGAGTGTTGACTCGTCGCTGAGAGAGCTGAAGAAGGGTACCCCTGCGGAGGTGCAGTTGCGGGTTAAATGGATGCTTGTACGCGACCGCCTCATCGATGCCTCGCTTCCCGCGTCTGAGTTTCCGGTCGCGTGGCTTCAGTACTGTGACCAGATGCCTCCGCTAGCTTAGTGCGTGCAGATCGCGACCGCGGGACATGGTTTGTCAGGCTGCTGACTTCATGTGTTTGTAATGTAGGAGAGTGTGGACCAATGGTTTTCTAATGTTCAACGTACGACATGTGTGTGGTTCCCATTGAAACGCGTTCGAAAAGTGCGTGATGCAGACTAGGAATGGCTGTTCAAGCTTGTTTTTCGCGGTTCCCGTCCGCGGTAGTCATGATTCTGTCTTCAAGCACATATTGAACCAAGTCAGCACTATGTTCTCACGCTAATACACACACACAAACACACACGACATACTACATGCACACATGTCCGCAACATGAACAACAGTCCACCGCGAGTAGAACTCAAGCAGGGTGGACAGGCTGCGCACACGCGACGCGACACTACACGCACTCAAGTCCGCTTCTTAAGACGATCCTTGGGCAGGGCAAGGTAAAGCCCAATGGACTCCATGACCTTCCCCGCAACCGAGCAGTCGCACCAGGTGATGATAACGTCCACCGTTTCGCGAGCAGCCATCTCAATGTGCCTGAGGTCGCGAGACTTGGCGACGACGTCGTTCACGACTTCCGATGCAATCGCGTCCGCGACCACCCTCGGATCCGCGACTACCTTCGGCTCGTCGTCACCAGCTTGCTTCTCGCGAGAATTGCGCCGCCGCACAGCCCTGATGACGTACGCGGTTACAACGGGGAACAGACGGCATCGATCCCTCTGGCAGTTAACCGCTCGCGCGGCCAAATTGCCAGAATCCGACGCAGTCGAGACCGCCGAACCGCGCGTCACCTCCCACACCATTGCGATCGCGCACGCGATCGCTCCCGCGTAATCCCGCGGATCCACATCGCGGTAGAGCTCCGTCTCTTCTGCTGCAGCCTCCGTGCCCACCACCGCGGCCCAAGCAATCTCGTTGGTGGTGGTCGATCCGGGCTGGGTCAGCTCGCGGTAGTGCTTGAACATGCGGGTCCACCTGCCACGCAGTGGGTGTAGCGGCCAGAACACGATAAACCAACCCCCCACCCCCAACATACACGACAGTATGAACGCGCTAGATGCATGTGAGATGGTGCCGCTCACCTTTCCCTGCTGGCCACGAGGTTGCGGTGATGCATGGTGATGAGGAGGCCCGTGTGTAGCCCCTCGGCAGCGGACAGGTCCGCGGCCCAATCCCGCATCTGCTTAGAGCTGAGGTGCAGCCCGGGATCCACCTTCAGGTCGTACGGCATCATCGCGATCGCGGTTTTGTACTGCAGGTCGTCGCGCTCGCCTTGTCCAAGCCACCGCTTCTTCCCCCCCAGATGCGGTTCAGAAACCAAGCCAGGACCGCCCCTGGGAGGATGGCGGATACCACAGCCTTTGCGCTTGCTGACTGTGTCACCCTGGTCCCCCGTTAGCCCACCGGGCACGACCACGGTGTCTGCGTCCTGCTCGTCCGCGCTCTCCCCGCCGCTAAACAGTTCGACCGCGTCCACCACACCCTGCTCTCCTCCGTCGCCCTCCTCCCCGACCCACCGGCTTGCGAGATTCTCGAGCTCCTCGTCCGCATCGTCCTCGTCGATGGTGTACACGGGTGGAGGGGGCAACTTCTTGCCTCGCCCGCGTTTTTCCGTCTTGGCCTCTCCCGCGGCAGCGCTCGGACCTGCAGATGCCAGCGCGCTATGCAGATGACCCGCGGTAATCGCGGGATGAGCGGGTGCGAGAGCGGTCTGCCTTCCCTCCGCCGCAGCAGCCGCCGCGGACTGCTCCTCACGCCCCGCTGCAAGCGAACCCACAGCGGCCGGCACCTCTCCATCCTCCAACTTACCCTTGCCCTTACCCGCAGTGGTTGTCACTGTCGCGGTCGCCCCGGCAGGGCCCGGTGCTTTGGGTGCAGCTTCTCCAGGTGGGATGGAGCGCGAGCTCGACCCCGGTTGACCAGGCGGTGCAGCGCCTCGCGATGCAGCGCCCCACTTGTTCTTGAGGATGTCATGCACGCTCGGGTGGCGCACCGCGGCCGCTGCCTGAGGAACCCTCTGCCTCTTCGCCCCCCTCTGAGTCTCGGCCTTCGCACCCGCCGCCCGCTTACCATGCTCAGCATCCCCGGCATCGGCATTCTCCGTCGCGGCCAGATCTTCCGTACCGGTGCGCGGAGTCGGGCTCCCTCCAACGAGCGCGATGAGGGTGTGCAGCGCGTTCGTGACCCCGCTGGTTGTGATTGCCCGCTCTGCTGTCGCTGAGACCGCGGACGACATGTTGTCGATCTTCTGCGCAACCTCGTCCGTCAACTTCTTCTGCGCGGTTTCCATGGAGTCCGCCACCACCCCCTGCAGCTGGCCCAACCTCGCGTCCACTCGCCCCAGCACCAACGCCTCTGGTTACGCGTGTCCAGCAGGGCCGCCCTTTCCTGCGCGAGCGCCCTCGCCTCCCTCTCCAGCAACCGAACCGCATTAGACAGCGCGGCCGCGAGCTCCTCGGAGCCCACGACCGCGACTCCTCCAACCCCCGACTCCTGGCGTATCTTCAGCCGTGCGATCTCTTCCGCCTGCGCTGCAAGCCTGCAGTCAAGCTGCAGGATCTCGGCAGCAAGCCTATGCGAGGGCAACGCGGAAAGGGACGCGTGATCACGCGCACATGTCACGGGACTCTTGCCCGCGACCTCACCACTCGGGGCCGCGCTTCCAGCACCGGGGGCCAAGTGCTGCGCGAGGTGCTTGATGCTCTTGCCGGATGTAGCGGGCCTGTTGGCTGCCGCGGCCGCGACCACGTGTGCCTCCGCCTCCTCCTCGCTTGACTCTTCCCCCTCACGCGCTACAGTGCGGTCAGCGTCTTCGCGGGGTGCACCCTTAGTCGCGGTATCGTCTGCCCCATCGTCATCGGCGTGGACCGCCGTCCCGCCGCGAGCACCTCCGCGGCTCGAAACACCAGCGGCACCTGTGAGAGCGAGTACACCATGGTCAGCAACCCGCGCACCCGTTGTCACTTCATGCATCTTCCCCAATTCAGCCTGTCAGAATGTTATTATTGTCTAGCCTGTAGTGGGGTGCTCTATAGCGAGTACAACCCAGTTAGGGTTTGCTATATGTACCCCAACTGCTGCTAGTGAAACCCCTCTCCTTTCAATCATTCTTGCCTAGTCTTGTTGACATGCTATCAGAGCAGGACGATCCAGATGGGTCGATCCTGTGGGTGGGCCCCACCACCTGCTTCCGCTGCTCCTACTACTGTTTGTGTCGCACGCCCCGTGGCGTGCGACGGATTTTTCATCCCGCCGCGCGCTCGGGGCGTGCGGCGGTTTTCTCCCCGCCGTGCGCACCGAGGCACGCGGCGGTTTCCTACCTTGGGGAGCCGCGCGCGACCCCCCGCGGCCCCGATTTCCCGTCGTGCCGCCCTGGGGAGCCGCACGCGACCCCCCGCGGCCCCGTTTTCCCGTCGTGCCGCCCTGGGGAGCCGCGCGCGACCCCCCGCGGCCCCGATTTCCCGTCGTGCCGCCCTGGGGAGCCGCGCGCGACCCCCCGCGGCCCCGATTTCCCGTCGTGCCGCCCTGGGGAGCCGCACGCGACCCCCCGCGGCCCCGTTTTCCCGTCGTGCCGCCCTGGGGAGCCGCGCGCGACCCCCCGCGGCCCCGATTTCCCGTCGTGCCGCCCTGGGGAGCCGCGCGCGACCCCCCGCGGCCCCGATTTCCCGTCGCGCCGCCCTGGGGAGCCGCGCGCGGCCCCTCGCTGCCCCGTGGTGGCGTCCTGGGGGCCGAGCGCCGTCCCCCTCGCCGTCCCCCGCGCTCCTTCCCCCGTTCCGCCCGTTTTTAGGGTTTGGGGGTGAGGAGTGTGGGGGTGGCAGCTATGGGGGTGCCGTGTGTGTGCGCCGTCCCCTGCTCCTCCTCCTCCTCCGTCTCCCACTGCTGCAGCTGCCGCTGAGGGGGGTGGATGTGTGGGAGCCGAGGTTTAGGGTTTAAGGGGGGTGTCGTGGAAGTGGAGCTAGGGTGTCAGCAGGGGGTGTGTGAGAGGGGCGTGGGACGGTCGGGGGAGGTTGCGTGGAGGTAGCCGTCGTGACGCCAGCAGCGCCAGTAGTCCGGATGCCCTCGCGCGTTTCGGTAGCCCAGCGAGCCTGCTTCGCCAGTCGCCTGTGGGTCCGTTGCTCCTGTGTGTGCTCGTCGTAGCCGCGGAGCCAGATACTCCCGTAGTCCGGTGCCCTCGTGCGCTCGGTAGCCACTGTGCGCGCCGCTCCTGTTGCCCGTGTGTCTGCAGCTTCAGTCGGCGCCTTTCATCTTCTCGCCCTCACAGTTTCTCCTCCTCCTCACTTGCCCTCTATGATCACCTCTAGCTTTGCTTATAATTGTGAACTATTGCTATGCCTGCTCATTGTACTGATTACACCCCACTTTGGCTATGGAGGTGTGTCAGAATGTTATTATTGTCTAGCCTGTAGTGGGGTGCTCTATAGCGAGTACAACCCAGTTAGGGTTTGCTATATGTACCCCAACTGCTGCTAGTGAAACCCCTCTCCTTTCAATCATTCTTGCCTAGTCTTGTTGAGACAGCCCCCTCAGCCTCACCGCCGTGCTTGTGTCGCGGCAAATCCACGCTCAAGTTGAACGCGAGCTCTTCGGCGGTTTGGTGGGCGTCATGCCGCAGTGCATTCAGAGTCTTCGCGGTAGGCCTCGAGAATTGCGGCCCGGATCCATTGGCAGCAACCGCGTCCAACTGAGCAAGGGTCTTGTCTAACGCGAACAGACAAGCGAGGTTGCCGCAGGAGCCCTTCAACGACGTCGCGTCCTGGGAATCAGAACGCGGGTTTTGTTAGCACGGTTGCAACTACTCGCGGCCAACGAGGACACGTAAACAACACAGACTTACCATATCGTACAGCCGATTGGGATCCTGAAGCTGGCGCGCCCGGGTGCATTGAATGGAGCCGCGAGCAAACTCCTCGTCCACGCGACCCTGAAACCACCTGCCCATACGCACAAACATAGCAACGCGCCCTCACGGTTAGCGACGGGAGCCATGTAACGGTATTGAACGTGGTAAAGATGGTACACTTGTACGCGGTACTCACTCCACAATTGCCTCCGCCGCGGTCACGTGTTCCCGCCCACCAGGTGGAATAGCAACGCGAACGAAACGCGTGTGCCAATTCTCGTCACCGTCAATCGACAGGTGATCTGGGTGGAGCATAAGGAGCATGCTCGCGTTCGAGCAGTTGTTGTCCACCAAGTCCCTGCACGTTACATTAACGACCGCGTAAACCCACGTAATCGAGTGCGAGAAACAATACCAGTGAACACTCCAAAATAAACACTCACTCGGTCCAGATGCAGAATGCAACAAGGCTGCACTCCATCACACCGGCAAAGGCCTTGACAGCCTCATCGCGACCCGCGACAATGTCCGCGACCACATCGCTCGTCACGACCCTGACGTGCTCCTGCACCTCTTTCTCCAAAAACCTCCGGACAATCACGCTGTGCGGGAAGAGGTAAAACACAGCGGAGGAAATTACGGACACAAACAAGGCTACATAAAAGCACCGCGGGAATACGACGCGCCTTGCACAGCCCACTAGTGCATACTGCGGACATGTCGCGATCATGCTATACCACGCGACCACCAACAACGCGTGCACAGTGGAATCAGGGATTGGGATGCATGGATCTCACCAAGCGACGAAGTCGAACAGACGGGCCGTGAACGGATGCTTGTCATCAGCGAGCAGCTTCCACTGATCGGGGGGGAGGTCCACCGTGGCTCCCGCAACAGAGATGTTGGCCGGACAGGAGGCGGCCGCCATCGACCCAGCTCTAAGTGCCTTCATTTCACGGTTCATCACCAGTACCACCTCAAGAGCGCGACCACAGGTACGGGGGATCTAGGATTTACGGTCCGCTAAACGATGCTCGCGTTTAAAAAAGACCAAGATGCACGCGAGCACGCGCGATCGCGGTCAGTCAGAGTCTCTACTTGCACTAGGCTTTGAAAGACCGCTACGTGGAACGGGCGAGCAGGAAGAAAACAGGTTGTGAAGGAGGAGAACGAAAATGAGGAGAACGAAAATGAGCACCAAATGCCCTTACCGAGAGCCTAAGAGGGGGCCACGGGGGAATCAAGAGACGGCACTCGCGGACAAACAGCGCGGGCCTTTCAACCCGCGCCGCTTTCGACTTTGACAAGGCGGGAGGTTCCGCAACATGCACGCTTGCGCAGCCCACTTCCGCCACGATGCACTCCATCTGCGAGACCCGTTCGGGGCGGGTTACCGACTCTCGCGGAGTGAATTTTCCTCGTCGCGTCCGCCGAGTCCCGATGTTACCATCGGGTCACCCGAATTAGCACTACACTCCGTTATATTACATGTACATGCGCGACTGAATAATTCCCCGATGCATATAAAATTATTTCGATTGGTCATCCCAGTGGAGTACACTCCGTACCGAAAATTTCGACTCGAGGCAAAAAGGTTCTTCGCGAGGCTCGTGCGAGCCGTCCGACTCTCGTAAACGACGGCGATTGGCCTGCACTTTTTCGGGCACCACGGGTACCGCTTCGCAGGCGTGACGATTCGCCCGTCGCTTGGAAACCTGCTCTCATTGGCCGAATCCGTTTCGGCCAGCCCGAATCTCCTTTCGCACGCGCGGATTCGCATGCGGACTGCCTCACGAGGGTTCTCCGAGTGACAAACCACTCGGGAACGGCTCTGATTGGCTGGCTTTGTTTCGGCGCGCTGGGGGTTGGGCCCTCGACACCGGATTGGAGAGCGAGTGGATTCGCGAGGGGTTTCGCGAGCCAGGGTTGGGCCGGGGGGGGGGACCACACTGCGTGGCGCTGGCGTGGCCCGGGCTCGGCGCGGGACCACCAGTCCATCCGGGCCCTGGTGGGTTCGAATCCACCAGTCCATCCAAGCCCTGGTGGGTTCGAATCCACCAGGTCCCCCTCCTGATGGAACCGAGTTTCCACCAGGGCCGCACGCACCAGGGCCCGGATGGACTGGTGGTCCCGCGCCGAGCCCGGGCCACGCCAGCGCCACGCAGTGTGGTCCCCCCCCGGCCCAACCCTGGCTCGCGAAACCCCTCGCGAATCCACTCGCTCTCCAATCCGGTGTCGAGGGCCCAACCCCCAGCGCGCCGAAACAAAGCCAGCCAATCAGAGCCGTTCCCGAGTGGTTTGTCACTCGGAGAACCCTCGCGAGGCAGTCCGCATGCGAATCCGCGCGTGCGAAAGGAGATTCGGGCTGGCCGAAACGGATTCGGCCAATGAGAGCAGGTTTCCAAGCGACGGGCGAATCGTCACGCCTGCGAAGCGGTACCCGTGGTGCCCGAAAAAGTGCAGGCCAATCGCCGTCGTTTACGAGAGTCGGACGGCTCGCACGAGCCTCGCGAAGAACCTTTTTGCCTCGAGTCGAAATTTTCGGTACGGAGTGTACTCCACTGGGATGACCAATCGAAATAATTTTATATGCATCGGGGAATTATTCAGTCGCGCATGTACATGTAATATAACGGAGTGTAGTGCTAATTCGGGTGACCCGATGGTAACATCGGGACTCGGCGGACGCGACGAGGAAAATTCACTCCGCGAGAGTCGGTAACCCGCCCCGAACGGGTCTCGCAGATGGAGTGCATCGTGGCGGAAGTGGGCTGCGCAAGCGTGCATGTTGCGGAACCTCCCGCCTTGTCAAAGTCGAAAGCGGCGCGGGTTGAAAGGCCCGCGCTGTTTGTCCGCGAGTGCCGTCTCTTGATTCCCCCGTGGCCCCCTCTTAGGCTCTCGGTAAGGGCATTTGGTGCTCATTTTCGTTCTCCTCATTTTCGTTCTCCTCCTTCACAACCTGTTTTCTTCCTGCTCGCCCGTTCCACGTAGCGGTCTTTCAAAGCCTAGTGCAAGTAGAGACTCTGACTGACCGCGATGCGCGTGCTCGCGTGCATCTTGGTCTTTTTTAAACGCGAGCATCGTTTAGCGGACCGTAAATCCTAGATCCCCCGTACCTGTGGTCGCGCTCTTGAGGTGGTACTGGTGATGAACCGTGAAATGAAGGCACTTAGAGCTGGGTCGATGGCGGCCGCCTCCTGTCCGGCCAACATCTCTGTTGCGGGAGCCACGGTGGACCTCCCCCCCGATCAGTGGAAGCTGCTCGCTGATGACAAGCATCCGTTCACGGCCCGTCTGTTCGACTTCGTCGCTTGGTGAGATCCATGCATCCCAATCCCTGATTCCACTGTGCACGCGTTGTTGGTGGTCGCGTGGTATAGCATGATCGCGACATGTCCGCAGTATGCACTAGTGGGCTGTGCAAGGCGCGTCGTATTCCCGCGGTGCTTTTATGTAGCCTTGTTTGTGTCCGTAATTTCCTCCGCTGTGTTTTACCTCTTCCCGCACAGCGTGATTGTCCGGAGGTTTTTGGAGAAAGAGGTGCAGGAGCACGTCAGGGTCGTGACGAGCGATGTGGTCGCGGACATTGTCGCGGGTCGCGATGAGGCTGTCAAGGCCTTTGCCGGTGTGATGGAGTGCAGCCTTGTTGCATTCTGCATCTGGACCGAGTGAGTGTTTATTTTGGAGTGTTCACTGGTATTGTTTCTCGCACTCGATTACGTGGGTTTACGCGGTCGTTAATGTAACGTGCAGGGACTTGGTGGACAACAACTGCTCGAACGCGAGCATGCTCCTTATGCTCCACCCAGATCACCTGTCGATTGACGGTGACAAGAATTGGCACACGCGTTTCGTTCGCGTTGCTATTCCACCTGGTGGGCGGGAACACGTGACCGCGGCGGAGGCAATTGTGGAGTGAGTACCGCGTACAAGTGTACCATCTTTACCACGTTCAATACCGTTACATGGCTCCCGTCGCTAACCGTGAGGGCGCGTTGCTATGTTTGTGCGTATGGGCAGGTGGTTTCAGGGTCGCGTGGACGAGGAGTTTGCTCGCGGCTCCATTCAGTGCACCCGGGCGCGCCAGCTTCAGGATCCCAATCGGCTGTACGATATGGTAAGTCTGTGTTGTTTACGTGTCCTCGTTGGCCGCGAGTAGTTGCAACCGTGCTAACAAAACCCGCGTTCTGATTCCCAGGACGCGACGTCGTTGAAGGGCTCCTGCGGCAACCTCGCTTGTCTGTTCGCGTTAGACAAGACCCTTGCTCAGTTGGACGCGGTTGCTGCCAATGGATCCGGGCCGCAATTCTCGAGGCCTACCGCGAAGACTCTGAATGCACTGCGGCATGACGCCCACCAAACCGCCGAAGAGCTCGCGTTCAACTTGAGCGTGGATTTGCCGCGACACAAGCACGGCGGTGAGGCTGAGGGGGCTGAATTGGGGAAGATGCATGAAGTGACAACGGGTGCGCGGGTTGCTGACCATGGTGTACTCGCTCTCACAGGTGCCGGTGGTGTTTCGAGCCGCGGAGGTGCTCGCGGCGGGACGGCGGTCCACGCCGATGACGATGGGGCAGACGATACCGCGACTAAGGGTGCACCCCGCGAAGACGCTGACCGCACTGTAGCGCGTGAGGGGGAAGAGTCAAGCGAGGAGGAGGCGGAGGCACACGTGGTCGCGGCCGCGGCAGCCAACAGGCCCGCTACATCCGGCAAGAGCATCAAGCACCTCGCGCAGCACTTGGCCCCCGGTGCTGGAAGCGCGGCCCCGAGTGGTGAGGTCGCAGGCAAGAGTCCCGTGACATGTGCGCGTGATCACGCGTCCCTTTCCGCGTTGCCCTCGCATAGGCTTGCTGCCGAGATCCTGCAGCTTGACTGCAGGCTTGCAGCGCAGGCGGAGGAGATCGCACGGCTGAAGATACGCCAGGAGTCGGGGGTTGGAGGAGTCGCGGTCGTGGGCTCCGAGGAGCTCGCGGCCGCGCTGTCTAATGCGGTTCGGTTGCTGGAGAGGGAGGCGAGGGCGCTCGCGCAGGAAAGGGCGGCCCTGCTGGACACGCGTAACCAGAGGCGTTGGTGCTGGGGCGAGTGGACGCGAGGTTGGGCCAGCTGCAGGGGGTGGTGGCGGACTCCATGGAAACCGCGCAGAAGAAGTTGACGGACGAGGTTGCGCGGAAGATCGACAACATGTCGTCCACGGTCTCAGCGACAGCAGAGCGGGCAATCACAACCAGCGGGGTCACGAACGCGCTGCACACCCTCATCGCGCTCGTCGGAGGGAGCCCGACTCCGCGCACCGGTACGGAAGATCTGGCCGCGACGGAGAATGCCGATGCCGGGGATGCTGAGCATGGTAAGCGGGCGGCGGGTGCGAAGGCCGAGACTCAGAGGGGGGCGAAGAGGCAGAGGGTTCCTCAGGCAGCGGCCGCGGTGCGCCACCCGAGCGTGCATGACATCCTCAAGAACAAGTGGGGCGCTGCATCGCGAGGCGCTGCACCGCCTGGTCAACCGGGGTCGAGCTCGCGCTCCATCCCACCTGGAGAAGCTGCACCCAAAGCACCGGGCCCTGCCGGGGCGACCGCGACAGTGACAACCACTGCGGGTAAGGGCAAGGGTAAGTTGGAGGATGGAGAGGTGCCGGCCGCTGTGGGTTCGCTTGCAGCGGGGCGTGAGGAGCAGTCCGCGGCGGCTGCTGCGGCGGAGGGAAGGCAGACCGCTCTCGCACCCGCTCATCCCGCGATTACCGCGGGTCATCTGCACAGCGCGCTGGCATCTGCAGGTCCGAGCGCTGCCGCGGGAGAGGCCAAGACGGAAAAACGCGGGCGAGGCAAGAAGTTGCCCCCTCCACCCGTGTACACCATCGACGAGGACGATGCGGACGAGGAGCTCGAGAATCTCGCGAGCCGGTGGGTCGGGGAGGAGGGCGACGGAGGAGAGCAGGGTGTGGTGGACGCGGTCGAACTGTTTAGCGGCGGGGAGAGCGCGGACGAGCAGGACGCAGACACCGTGGTCGTGCCCAGTGGGCCAACGGGGGGACAGGGTGACACAGTCAGCAAGCGCAAAGGCTGTGGTATCCGCCATCCTCCCAGGGGCGGTCCTGGCTTGGTTTCTGAACCGCATCTGGGGGGGAAGAAGCGGTGGCTTGGACAAGGCGAGCGCGACGACCTGCAGTACAAAACCGCGATCGCGATGATGCCGTACGACCTGAAGGTGGATCCCGGGCTGCACCTCAGCTCTAAGCAGATGCGGGATTGGGCCGCGGACCTGTCCGCTGCCGAGGGGCTACACACGGGCCTCCTCATCACCATGCATCACCGCAACCTCGTGGCCAGCAGGGAAAGGTGAGCGGCACCATCTCACATGCATCTAGCGCGTTCATACTGTCGTTTATGTTGGGGGTGGGGGGTTGGTTTATCGTGTTCTGGCCGCTACACCCACTGCGTGGCAGGTGGACCCGCATGTTCAAGCACTACCGCGAGCTGACCCAGCCCGGATCGACCACCACCAACGAGATTGCTTGGGCCGCGGTGGTGGGCACGGAGGCTGCAGCAGAAGAGACGGAGCTCTACCGCGATGTGGATCCGCGGGATTACGCGGGAGCGATCGCGTGCGCGATCGCATGGTGTGGGAGGTGACGCGCGGTTCGGCGGTCTCGACCGCGTCGGATTCTGGCAATTTGGCCGCGCGAGCGGTTAACTGCCAGAGGGATCGATGCCGTCTGTTCCCCGTTGTAACCGCGTACGTCATCAGGGCTGTGCGGCGGCGCAATTCTCGCGAGAAGCAAGCTGGTGACGACGAGCCGAAGGTAGTCGCGGATCCGAGGGTGGTCGCGGACGCGATTGCATCTGAAGTCGTGAACGACGTCGTCGCCAAGTCTCGCGACCTCAGGCACATTGAGATGGCTGCTCGCGAAACGGTGGACGTTATCATCACCTGGTGCGACTGCTCGGTTGCGGGGAAGGTCATGGAGTCCATTGGGCTTTACCTTGCCCTGCCCAAGGATCGTCTTAAGAAGCGGACTTGAGTGCGTGTAGTGTCGCGTCGCGTGTGCGCAGCCTGTCCACCCTGCTTGAGTTCTACTCGCGGTGGACTGTTGTTCATGTTGCGGACATGTGTGCATGTAGTATGTCGTGTGTGTTTGTGTGTGTGTATTAGCGTGAGAACATAGTGCTGACTTGGTTCAATATGTGCTTGAAGACAGAATCATGACTACCGCGGACGGGAACCGCGAAAAACAAGCTTGAACAGCCATTCCTAGTCTGCATCACGCACTTTTCGAACGCGTTTCAATGGGAACCACACACATGTCGTACGTTGAACATTAGAAAACCATTGGTCCACACTCTCCTACATTACAAACACATGAAGTCAGCAGCCTGACAAACCATGTCCCGCGGTCGCGATCTGCACGCACTAAGCTAGCGGAGGCATCTGGTCACAGTACTGAAGCCACGCGACCGGAAACTCAGACGCGGGAAGCGAGGCATCGATGAGGCGGTCGCGTACAAGCATCCATTTAACCCGCAACTGCACCTCCGCAGGGGTACCCTTCTTCAGCTCTCTCAGCGACGAGTCAACACTCTTCTTCTTCACCGCGATCCCTTCCGACACACCCGACATGCCCACAGATCGGGACACGTTGTCGAGTTTCTCGAGCACGACGTCGATGTTGTCTCCCTGCTCCACCCTGCGGGAGATGAAGTCCATGACTCGCTTCACACGGTTTATCGCGTTCTGGGCGGCGTTCTGGCCGCCCTTCTCCTTCCCCATGAGCTCGGCCATTCGCGTAACTGCACCACGGGGTTGGGCCAGTAGCGACTCTGGACTCTCGCCTACCAGCGCGTGCGTGGACTTGTACAGCTTCCATCCGTCCGACGGCTTGGTCGCGTTCACCCATGGTTTCATGATCGCGTCCCGAATAGTCTCATCCCTGGTCGGCTGTGCTGGCTTCTTACGCGTCCCCTGGTCGGTGGGGGTTGCGGAATTGGTGGGCGCGGCCACGGCTCCAGGAGTGTTTGCCGGTCTCGGATCCGCGGTCGGCCCTGAGCTGCTCACGGTGAGACGCGACAGCTGGGCTTCCAGGTCGTTCACGCGCTCGTCCTTCTCAGCCAGCCTCCGGTCGCGATCTTCCAGCAGCCCCTCCAGCTCTTTCACCCGTCTCTGGATCGCGGCCAGCTCTACGGCCAACCTGGTGTTGTCCGCTTGTGAACGTGTCAGGTACTCAGTGAGGCAGGCCACTTGGTTCTGCGCGTCCATCCTGGTACTGACCTCCTGCATACACAGAACGCGAACGCGTAAAATGTGATGGGTACGCATTGACATTACAACCGAACTAGTAACGCGACCACACAGTACGCACCGCGGGCTGGGTCAGTGTAGGGGTGTTTCGCTGTACTATGGCCAGCTGATTTGCCAAGGAGACATCTGCTGCCCACCGCGCAAATTCCTCTGTCTGGCAGAGCGGGTTGTTGACCACGTACGGGTGTCGCGGCTGGTGTATGTAATACATGGCCAGGTCTTGTGCGACCGCCATTCTAGCCTCCCCATTCAGCTCCTTCAGTATGTTTAGACCCGCGGTGTCCTGCTTCTCCGGCTTCTTCTCTTTGACCATCTTGCTGTTGTAATCATGGCACTGTGCAACACAACAACGCGATAGTTTAGGGGTTTATGTGGAATGATCGCGGTGTGTTGATACTACTATGCGCGGCCCACACCCACCTGTTTCTGCCCTTTGTCCTCGGCGGCCCATGGGAAGATGTGCTTCTTCATCAGCTTCTCCAGCGCCTCTCTCGGTGGAACTGTTGCGCGACCCAGGAAGTAGTCACCATCAACCCCTGTGAAGCCAGCCTTCAGGAGCACGGCCTCCCTCGGAATAGTTGTGAGGTAGTGCTTAGTCATCACGTCGATGAAGCGCCACCCCCCCAGTCTCGCCAGCTGATCCGACGGCATTCCGTCTGCGGCCGCGTGCTGAGCCCCTCCAGCTCTAGTCGCGTGAACGACATGCGAGCATGTGATTCCCGCGTCCCCCAGAATCTTCGCCGCCCAGTCGTGATGAGTCGTGGGCGGTATCTGCTTCTCGGTGCCCGCGCGAAGGGGGAAGAAGAGGTACTGGTCGTACCACGCCGAAGGTTCCGTGAAGTCGAGAGGGGGGGCTATGTCCCCGTAGAGGATAGGGACCAAGTCGTACACCCAGTGCAGCCATAGCAGCGTGGCTCCGACCGCGCACAGAGTCCAATCAATGTGTCTCACTGCCGAGATGTAGTTGAGCGAGAAGTCCTTGTTTGTCTTGCCCGTCCTGCACGCGCACACAAACGCGAACGCATTCCGCACTGGATCCGTCTCGGATTTTGCGCCGAGCTTCCACATCATCATGTCTGGAAGCTGGAGGTTTCGGATCGTGCACCCGCGAGCTAGTGTGTGATGACCGAGGACCGTCATCGTCCTGATGCAGAGGTCGCGATGCATTGCCTGCGTGTACTGTTGCTTGGCTAGTGTGAAGCTGCTCACGATGGCGGCCATGCTGGTTTTCCGCATCATCTTCTTGAACTCGTCCGGGTTGTACGTGTCCGCGGCCGTGCCCCGATGGCGATCCATGTGTTCCCTGCATCAAACCCGTTCCACGATTGTGAGCCTCTGTACGAACGCGGTAAACTCGGACATTCGCGTTCACTGAGTACGTATACTTACGCGATGAACCGCTTGTACTGGTCGCGGACTTGAACGCGGACCCAGATGCGATACTCCGCAAAGTCGCGCAGGAGATTCAGAACCGGCTTCCTGAAGATGGCCCCGTCCAGCTTGATGAGCATGTTCAGAGCCTTGAGACGCCCCATCAGCATTGCAGGGGAGCACTGGCGTCTCTTCTTCAGGGTCTTGTCGGGCCGCTTGAGTGTGGCCATCCTGTCCGCCTGGGCGACCGTCTCGTTCGCGAGGAAGGTCACGTATTTGCGTAACCTCCACGGATTCGTCTCAGGGCCGTGGAACCACTGCTCGTCGCCCTTCGCCATCTTCCAGTCAGCACCCATGTCCTGCTCGAGCGCGGCCCCGATCTCGTCGGGGTTCGCGTTTTCCAACGCGGCCTCCTCACCGAACCTATTCGCGACAAGCTTCGGCAGCTCGTGCGCCATGAAGAGCTTGTACTCTCTTGCCCAACCGCGATATTTCTTCAGCGTGGCTTCAGAGACACCGTAGAGGATGCCCATGCACACCTCTTTTTTCGCGACCGGCGTGTCGTCCACACCAAGCCGGTTCCAATCCGCGATGGGAACCTCCAAATCCGTTCGCGTACCCCGCACTCGTTCGTTGTCTTCCTCCTCTCCCTCGTTGAGTGCGGACAACGAGTTAGAGAGGTAGTTTTCGTCATCTTCATTCCAACTATCTTCCTCATCTTCAGCGTCCTCCTCGTCATCCTCATCGCTTTCCCCTTCGTTACCCTCTCGCGATCCGAGGCGTGCCGTGTGAGGCGCGACTTCGACTCGCCGCCTCCTTACTTGCGGTCTACTGACTGGGACGTTCCCGGTACCTCCGCTCGCGTTACCACCGGGTTCTCTGCCTCCGTTGCCTAACACCCCAGGCGCGCTCCGCCCGTTCGCACTACCTCCGTTCCGTCCCACACCGGTCCCACGTCCCGCGTTCGCTCTCCCACCCCTTCCTCTAGCACCTCTCGCACTCTCACCTGTCCCTCTTCCCGCGTTCCCTCTCGCAGCTGCACCTCTTCCTCTTCCCGCGTTACCCCTTGCACCAGTCCCTCTTCCGCTTCCCGCGTTACCACCAGCAGGCGCTCCTCGTACCGCGTTCCGCGCGTTCGCCTGTGGTTGTTCACCTTCACAGTTCTCGTCCGCTGCGGTCGGTTGCGCGGGGGTGCGGATGTGGACGTCCGGGTTTCCCGGCAACAGCGAGTTCACGTTCCAAATTGGCGGCGAATGTGCACGCGCGCTGGCATTCATCCCCGCACCAACATTCTCCGCACGCACTGAACCATCGGGAACCGCGACCGTCGAAGGGCCGTCTGCACGCGCAGGGGTGTCCACACCCATCTGTAATGGTTCTATGCGGTCACGCGGGGCTTGCACTGGTGCCTGGATTTCCGGTTGAATCGCGCTGGGGAATGGGGTTGACGGCGCGACCGGAGGCGTCGCGACAGCTTCGGGCGCGTTCAGCATGGGGTCCGGTTGAACGCCAATGTACCCGTACCTGAATCCCACATTCCCGTACTGCGGCCCTACGAAGCCACGCACGGGCATCCCAAAGAGCTGGTTTGAGGGCATGGACGCGTACGCGGTCTGGTGTTCAGCAAGCCTTTGTCCGGGATGCGGCGTGGATACTCCACGCGAGTTCAAATCATCCTGCTGGGCATGGAACGCGACCGTCGCCGATGCAAACGGTATCTGTGTCCGGGGTGCTAGGTGGATCCTGTCAGAGGTCCACTGGTGATCCCCGATTGATCCTAGGGAAGGGTTACAGGCACGGCGGCCTGGGGGGTTATGGGCGCACTCACCCGCTACACAAACAAGCCTTTTTATCCCAGTGGTTAGTGGCTGGGATTCTGACATGGTATCAGAGCGAAGGTCTCGGGTTCGAATCCCGGTGTGTGCACCTCGGGCATCCCAGTGCGGGGGGGTGTCAGAGGTCCACTGGTGATCCCCGATTGATCCTAGGGAAGGGTTACAGGCACGGCGGCCTGGGGGGTTATGGGCGCACTCACCCGCTACACAAACAAGCCCTTTTATCCCAGTGGTTAGTGGCTGGGATTCTGACAGATCCCGTTGACCAGTTGCTGTGGGTGAAACGCGGGCAAACGCGTGCCAAAAACCACAGGCTGCACGTGTGGGGTGCTCCATGTGGGGATGTGCGCGTGCATGTTGGCCACGGGAGCGCTTGGCGGATCTGCATTATGGATTTCGGCCGCGGAAGGATTAGCCGAAGCATTGACGGAGGCTTCAAGGATTGGCGCCGCGACGCAATTCACGGTATGCATGCAGCGTGCGACATTGCCTCTACTCCTATAAACCGCGTGCGTCAACATGACGCGCGATCGCTAATGTGACAACCGGGTGTGAAGTGTACTCTGTACAACGCGACCGTGGTGCTTACAGGCTCTCGAACGCGGCCCACATCGCTAACGCGGCACTAGTGTCCCGTTTCCCGTCAGGTCAGGTGACTCCAGTGTGGCATGAGAGGGAGGAGCCTGTGGTGCAACTGGCGTGCGGAAAGCGAAAATGTGGGCATGCTGGGAGTAATGACCGGCCACCGCGTGGACGTGCATGACACGTTACTGCGATCGCGGCTCGACCAAACAGCGACAGCTGTGTGGCTCGTTCAATGTGCTGCACGTGTCAGTCAGCATGGAGCCTACCAGATCGCGCCAGGTGTTTCCGAACCGGGTGTTGCGTCGCGGTTCCCAAGCCTATCGATGGGCGAATTCGGTTCGCGATTTGATGCGAGACTTCGCACCCAATGGTAGCACTCATGTTTTTCCCGCTCGCGCAGTTGCATGCGCGGAATGCCCTGCCTGTCAAGGTCTGTTGACCAATCGCGTTGGTTTTTTCCCGAGTCGCGCATGCATCGGCGCGTAAGAACGAGGTGGGTTCTTTCGGTTTTTGGGGGGGTCGCGGAGCTTTCGGTGGAAACCTGGTGGGTTTCACTGAGCCACGCAGGGCCGCGCAAGGTCCAAAACTGGTGGATTTCTGGAGGGCCGACTTTGCCTCACGCGTCCCCCGATGTCTCCGCGCCCCGTGCATCCCAAGGCGTGGGCGGGGTTTTTCCCGAGCCGCGCCGTATGAACATCCCAGCATCACCCCTACAGATGTTTTGAGCGGGCGGCGAGCTCCAATTGTCTCAGACAGGAAGTGAGTGAACCTGGAATCGGCCCAAACAAACCTCGTCCGGAGGTATGGCAAAAAGGGGCTCCCGGTCAAGGGCATCACTGCAGACAAAACAGCATATCGAGCGAAGGAATGAGCGAACTCTATATAGCCAAGTAATGTGGTAACAGTAACGAGCGAAGGGCCGGAGCAGTGAGCTTTGGTACGGTGATGTGTGGTAAAGTACACCTCCGTCCCACCTTGATATTTTCGGGGGGGGGGGGGGGGGGGGGGGGGGGCGGGAGGCAAGTCCCACTATTCTAAGCAAGCGCTGGGAGCACCCCACCTGCGGGGGGCATCATGGCAGCTATTGCTCCCGCGATGCTGCTGCTACCGTACCTTGTCGATATTTTGGGCGGGCCCAACCATTCCCTGCCAGTCACAAATTGTGAACGTCACAAAATGTGACGCTCGGAAAGTGAGCGAACCTAGAATCAGCCCACCAAACCTCGTCCAGAAGTATGGCAAAAAGGGGCCCGCTTTGGCATGGGTTCTAGTCTGGGGACGGAGCTAAACTGCTCCCTCAAGAAGAAGGCAGTCATGACGAGCGCCTCCCCTTTTAAAGTTCCGAACCGATTGCTTTGGGTAGTGACGCTTCGCGTCGCCGCGCCAAGCCAGAGATTCTTCTCTAGGAAGGCTCCACCACACACACGCTTCTTCCACACGGGTCGGGCAAATCAGCCGCCAATCGCGTCGTTCCTTGAGCCATGAGGAGAGTTGTGCTCAATTTCGCGGAGTCGCGATTTGTTTTATGTTTGCTACGTGGCATGCCTTCGATCGCGGAACCGCTATCTGTTTTATTGTTGCCACAAATTTCTAAGAGAAATCTAGTGGGTCAATTGTACCACCCTGCCCGCAGGCAAAAATAAAACCCCTAAATGAATGGCATGTGTTAGGGATGTATCAACCCCAAACGCCTAGAGGCAAGGTGTTTAGTTTTGATGCCTCCCTAAGGCATAACAGGCCAGAATGGGTTTTATTTTTGCCCGCGGGCAGCGCATTGCAAAACTTAACTAAGTTCTTTTTGAACTTTGTGATAACAATTAAACAGATCGCGGTTCCCGCGTTCGAAGGCATGCCACGTGGCGATATTAAAACGAAACGCGGTTCCGCGGGTTTCAGCAAAATTCTCAGCCATGAGGCCAAGTCAGGTCCGAGAGGTGTCATCGAAAAGATTCAAACCGTATCCAATGGTTTCCAACCGTCTCGACACGCAAATCATCTTACCAAACCGCACTCAAGTGGGCGTCCTCCAACTCATCCACTTCGCAGCTCACTATCAATCACAAATAGGTTTGCACCCTGTCAGATACTGCACGAGTAGTTTCTTTGGCACGAGTTTTCCGCTCCTCGTTGTCTCCGGGCCGGGACCGACCGAGTCAAGCAGAGCTTATCATGATAGATTCAGAAAGTGTCTACGGACGGACTGTACAAGTTCCGGCTTTTTTTGTCTTGTACGTGTAGTAGACGATGGAGCAGCAGCTAGCAGCAGCAGCTAGCCAGCAACTTGTCAGTTGCTGCTTCGGGAGGAGAAGTCTTTCGGAGCCCTCCGACATTGGGAATGTCGTTTGTCGGTTTGTTTCCCATGGAGGAGCAAGAAGTCAAGGAGGAGCAGGCAGGCTTCATCACCCTGCCTGGCCGAAGAAAACACTCAAACCCCCAAGCCACAGAACCAACCCATCCTCCAAACCAGTCATCTAATCCCTTCCTAATGTTTTATCATTGGTTGAACAAGTGCCGTCGCCAGATGTTTTCTTGAAGTTGAGTCGGATTGGATGATTCGGATCATTCCAGCTTCGCCCGTCGGCCCTGTTTCGGCGGCCCGACGTCCGACCGAATTCTGAAACTGCAGCACAAAGAAAGCCACGGCTGCCCTTTTCATGCGAAGCGGAATATCGCTTTTGCCATGCGTTTCCTTCTTCAACCAGCGAGCCGGCACAACCATACCGCACTCCCGCAGCGTCCTTTGACTAGTAGCTGTAATAGCTGCAGTTTCTTGGTGCACCCTTCTAGCTGTCCAAAGAGGTTTCTTTGGACCTTCAGCTCAAGCGTACAATCAAAACACCCTTTTTGGTGCCCTCTGCGCTCGAAAGTTCTGCTTCATCGTATTTTAGCTCTAGAAAAACATATTTATGGCAAAGAACTTCCATACCTGCAAAGGATCTTCCTACTGACGCCATTCTCCCCGCCCCGCGGCTACCAAGAACGCGCCTGCTACCAAGAACGCGCCTGCTACCAAGAACGCGCCTGCTACCAAGAACGCGCCTGCTACCAAGAACGCGCCTGCTACCAAGAACGCGCCTGCTACCAAGAACGCGCCTGCTACCAAGAACGCGCCTGCTACCAAGAACGCGCCTGCTACCAAGAACGCGCCTGCTACCAAGAACGCGCCTGCCAGGCGGAAACGCGCCTGCTACCAAGAACGCGACTTCCCTACCACGCCCTATTACCCGCCAAAGGATCTTCCTACTCACGCGCATTCCCCCCGCCCCGCCGCTACCAAGAACGCCGCTACCTAGAACTCGCCGGCTACCAAGAACGCGCCAGCCGCATCATGGCGCTGCTTCTCAGTTGAATTACGGAGCCTGTCCCTCAGTGACGTCGTCAGAGCCTGAGTTGCTTGCTGCTGTGCCGTGCCGCTGTAGTACCTGCTGCTGTCCTCATTCACTCGCTCGTATCCACCGCATCCGCGTCTCGTCTCGTTTCGAAGCGACACTACTTTGAGATCATTTCACGATGATCATGATGGCGCGTTCGCGGCACGGCGTGGCTGTCAAGCGATGCTCTGGCCTCGTGCTCGCTGCACTGGCTGCTCTCATGCTCTCAGGTCTGCTCTCGTTGCTGTCAGGTCTGCTCTCATTGCTCGCAGGTTCGCTCATTGCTCTCAGGTTCGCTCTTGTTGCTCTCAGGTTCGCTCTCATGCTCCCAGATTTGCTCTCATGCTCTCAGGTTTCTCTCATGCTCTCAGGTTTGCTCTCATGCTCTCAGGTTTGCTCTCATGCTCTCAGGTCTGCTCTCATGCTCTCAGGTTTGCTCTCATGCTCTCAGGTCTGCTCTCATGCTCTCAGGTTTGCTCTCATGCTCTCAGGTCTGCTCTCATGCTCTCAGGTTTGCTCTCATGCTCTCAGGTTTGCTCTCATGCTCTCAGACCTGCTCTCGTTGCTCGCTGCAGTGACAAGCTTTTGTGAGACTGACATGCATAATGCTTCACTTCCAGCAATCCAGCTCACTTCCAGGTCACTTCCAGGTCACTTCCAGCTCACTTCCAGCTCACTTCCAACTCAGCTTCCTCCTCCACCAATCCTAAACCTCTTCGCGTGATACCCTGCCCTTTGCAACCCCAGGTGGTTATTCACCCCAACATTCCCGGTTCCCCCTTCTTCCACTGGCCCATTTCGTCCTCTTCTGTCCTCTCGTGCATTCCCGCGTCCAAACCTCCCCATCTTGAACCTTTCTTTCCTTGCCTCCTCATCCCATCCTCCTTCCCCTCTTTCTCTTTCCCCCCTCCCCTCCCGACTCCCCTCCCTCTCCCCCATCCGCTCTCAGTCTGTGCGCCCAGGGCTGCTGCTGTTCGGCTGCCAGATGCGAGCAATGCCGCAGACCGTAAGTCAAAACCCGTAAGTCAAAAGCCCGTAAGTCAAAAGCCCGTAAGTCAAAAGCCCGTAAGTCAAAAGCCCGTAAGTCAAAAGCCCGTAAGTCAAAAGCCCGTAAGTCAAAAGCCCGTAAGTCAACAGCCATAGTTACTTGTAGGGCCTGAACTGCAACACATAGGGCCTGCTGAGACGCACCATTGCCTGTCTCTTTGCCTTCAAACCCTGATGGGAGCGATGCTTGATACCTGTTGACTCGGAATCCCCTTCTCCCCCGTGTTTTGTCCACACTTGAAGCTTCTCCACTGTTAAGTAAAAAGCCCATGGGATGTGAGGCGGTGGGCCGTTCACACGCCGTTTTTTGCTCCCTTTCGATTCCATTTCACCTATCCATGATCAATCGCACTTTCCTGTTTCTCCCTTTTGCTGCTTTTCTCTCCTTGTCCCCCGTTTCCTCTCCTTGTCCCCGTTTCCTCTCCTCGTCCTCTCTCTTCTCCTTGCCCCGTTTTCCTCTCCTCGCCCCGTTTTCCTCTCCTCTCTGGTTCCTCTCTCCCTTGCTGGTCCCTGCTCTTGACATGCGGAACGGACTCGTGTGTGCAGAGAAAGTGTGGCGCCAATGTGATCGGCATGAGGAGGAACTTTCCTCATTCATACCTTCCGCCCCCCTCTGTTCCTTTTGACTAATCCGCCAGACTCGTGTGTGGATAGGAAGTGTAGCGTCAATGCGGTCTGTGTGAAGACGAAATATCCTCATTCATACCCTCCGCCCCCCTCTGTTCCTTTTGACTGATACCCGCCAGACTCGTGTGTGCAGAGGAAGTGTGGCGCCCATGCAGTCTGCGTGAAGGAAAGGGGGAACGCCAGATGTGTCTGCAACCGTGGATTCTCCATGACCCCCGCCGGCTGTGTTGGTGCTGGTGAGTGCTCCTAGCTAAAGTGCTGGTTCCTCGCTCCCTCGTTGGTCCTCCTTGTTGTTTTGTTGGTGCTGGTGAGTGCTGCAAGCCGGAGTGGTGATGGATGGTGCATGGGGTTGAGTGCTGCTGTGCTGTTTGGGGGTAGAGAGACCTGTAGATTAAGTTGGGATAAAGGGGGGTTGTTTGTTTGTTCCTCTGTGTCATTCGCAGACAGTACTGCTGCAATGAGTTATCCATGGAATTCTGAGTGTCTCAGAAGCTCTTTGTCCCTTGGTATCATTCGCAGACACTACAACGAGGCCTCCAGGGATTCAAGCCATTCCTTGATTGAGGCAGAAGCTCTGTTTTGACAATCCGAGATTCAGGAGCGCTGTCAGGTTGCAGGAGTGGTGTCAGGTGGCAGGAGCGTTATTAGGTGGCAGGACCGCTTCGAGCTTCAATCTTTCGAGGCCTGTCATGTGTACAGTGATTTTTTTCATTCGCTGCTCTTAGTATCCCCTCACTCGCCCAGCCCCCCTTCTCCACTGCCCCCCATTCCCCAGACGCATGCGCTCTCAAGGCGTGTGGCAGCAACGGCAAGTGCACCAAGGACAGTGCTGGAGTGGCGTCCTGTGTGTGTGACACTGGCTTCGCACTGCAGGCTGATGGCGTCACATGCACCGGTATGTGCCATGCCTTGTCGCATGTTGCCATGCGCCTTGTGCTATGCCCTGTGCTGTGCCTTGTGTTACGCCATGTGCAATGCCATGCACCATGTGCTAGGCCTTGTGTTATGCCATGCCTTGTGCTATGCCATGTGTATGCCATGCCATGTGCTGTGTCATATGCTATGCCATGTGCTATGCAATGCCAAGGGCTGTGCCATATGCTATGTCATGTGCTATGCAGTGCCTTGTGATATGCCATGTGCTCTGCCATGTGCAATATGCTGTATATGCTTTTATATGCTGCAATATGCTGAAACTTGTGTGTGCTGTGCTGATAGCAGGTGTTGCTGTGCTCCATGGGTAAAGTCACACTTCTTCTCGTTCAAGAAATAAAATGCACTGTTTATATTTCCATTTACCTTTCTATGTTCCATCGCAGACACATGCGCACTCAAGGCCTGTGGTGTGAACGGCCAGTGCAGCAAGGACGCAATTACTGGAGCGGCGTCGTGTGTGTGTGACACTGGCTTTGCGCTGCAGGCGGATGACAGGACGTGCACTGGTACGTGCTGAAGCTGCTGCGTGCTACTCTATGTGGTTCTGTGCGCTACTCTTTGCGCTGCAGGCGGATAACAGGACGTGCATGGGTACGTGCTGTATGCTTCGGCTTGTGTGTGCTACTATGCGCCTCGGCTTGTGTGTGCTACTATGCGCCTCGGCTTGTGTGTGCTACTATGCGCCTCGGCTTGTGTGTGCTACTATGCGCCTCGGCTTGTGTGTGCTACTATGCGCCTCGGCTTGTGTGTGCTACTATGCGCCTCGGCTTGTGTGTGCTACTATGCGCCTCGGCTTGTGTGTGCTACTATGCGCCTCGGCTTGTGTGTGCTACTATGCGCCTCGGCTTGTGTGTGCTACTATGCGCCTCGGCTTGTGTGTGCTACCATGTGCTTCGGCTTGAGTTGTATGTGCATGCTCTGTTGATGCCATGTGCATGCTCTGTTGATGCCATGTGCATGCTCTGTTGATGCCATGTGCATGCTCTGTTGATGCCATGTGCATGCTCTGTTGATGCCATGTGCATGCTCTGTTGATGCCATGTGCATGCTCTGTTGACTCCATGTGCATGCTGTTCTGATTATGTGCATGCTGTTCTGATTCCATGTGCATGCTGTTCTGATTCCAGTGCATGCTGTGCTGATGGCATGTGAATGATTGATGACAAACCAGAAATGATTCCTACTATTCACATATTCTCATCTCGTTTCCTCACTCCCTCTGAGGTTCAGACACGTCTCTCCACGTATAATCCGCGTGTGATGCTGTGCGGATGGCCTGTGAATGATTGATGCCAAACCAGGAATGATTCCTACTATTCACATATTCTCGTCTCGTTTCCTCACTTCTGAGACGCCTCAAAATTTGATGACAAACCAAAAATGACTCTTACTATTCACATATTCTCGTATTCTGACTCCCTCCCCTCCCAGACACATGCACACTCAAGGGATGTAGGGGCAACGGCACATGCACCAAGAAAAGCACTACTGGAGTGGCGTCGTGTGTGTGTGACACTGGCTTTGAACTAGAAGCGGATGGCAGGACGTGCACTGGTGCGTGCTGCATGCTGGTGGTTTGTGCTGATGTCATGTGCTGATGTCAGTGCGTCAAGAATAGCTCCTGTGTGTGTGACACTGGCTTTGATCTGGAAGCGGATGGCAAGACATGCATTGAGTACGTGTTAATTCTTGCTTAGGCTTCTTTGGGCTGCTTTCTGCTAAGGCTTTAGCTTGTTGTATGTGCATGCTGTGCTGGTAGCAAGTGCATGGTTGCTGACAAATCAGAAACGAATTCGACTGTCTACATGTTCTACTTCCTCTTTCTCCCCCCTCCCAGACACGTGCGCACTCAAGGCCTGTGGGACAAATGGCACGTGCGTTAAGAACAGCACTACTGGAGCGGCATCCTGTGTGTGTGACACTGGCTACGTGCTGCATGCGGATGGCAAGACGTGCACTGGTATGTGCTGTGCTATGTGAGTCACCCGAGTCATGTGAGTGATGTGAGTCGCCTGAGTCATGTGAGTGATGTTCCTGCACGAGTGGTCGCTTGACTTGAACCATAGCTTTTCCTTCCTCTCCCTCCATACCGCCTCCAGATACCTGTGTTATCAAGGGCTGCAACGATATGGTTACCGATCCGATTTCGTGAAGGACGCTGCAGACACCACATGCAGGTTCAATTGGAGGTTTTAATTCCTCTCCCTCCATCCCTCCTCCATCCATCTCTCCTCCATACCGCCTCCAGATACCTGTGTCATCAAGGGCTGCAACACTTACACCACCGATTGCGTGAAGGACGCTGCAGGCGCCGCCTCCTGTGTGTGCAAGCCGGGCTACCAGAACATTTCGGGCACGTGCATGGGTATGTTCGTCCACTGCCCTGATTTCGTGCTGCTGCAGCCTGATGCGGGCGTGCACTGGCTGGCACTGGCTGGCACGTGCTGCGCTATCAGAACATGCTCGGCTTGTGCCAGGTTCTCCTATGAATTGACCTGCAATAATTCCGACCGCTGCCCTGCAATGATTTGACCTGCCCTGAATAATATTTTACTAACGAGGAACTAGAACTTCTTGCCCTGCCCGTGCGTGCCATGGGGCAAATGAACGACTTTGAGACGTCTCGAAACACCTGTTCAGCCAGGGATGAACCGGTTCGTTCCGACCAACCAGGGGCGACTTTTGAGTCGCCTCCAAAGTCACCTTGTTCAGATAGAGATGAACAGTTTCGTTCCGTCTGACCAGGGGCGGGATCAGAACATGAATCAACTTCTGTCGCCTTGTTTTGACAGTACCAGACCAGAGTGCAGGTCAGCCTCAAAATTCTGTGAGACCAAACGTGCTATGCTAGTTCAATTCTGCAGGAGCTTACTCTCTTGGTATCTGTGTCCTGGCTGTTGATCTGTGCTGCTCGGCTCACTCCATCTCGTCCCTGGCTTGAGTTGCAGCTGGCAGTGCCGTGGTTGCTGCTTTCAAAGACGCACCTCATACTGCATGCATACATGCGTGCACCATGTCTCACTCCGTATGCTCCCCTCTCCCTCACCACCACAGGGCCTGCCTCGTGTGGGGTCTGCCCTGCAGGAGCCAGCTGCACTCTGTTGCCATACAGCAAAGCGTCGTACTGCACTGCACCCTACTACACCGTACAGCACCTTATGCATCATGTCTCACTTCATATGCTCCGCTCTGCTCTCCCTCACCACCACAGGGCCTGCCTCGTGTGGGGTCTGCCCTGCAGGAGCCAGCTTCACTGTGCTGCCGTACACCAAAGCACCCTACAGCACCCTAATGCACCATACTGCACCGGACTGCATCATATCTTACTCTGCATCGTATGCTCTTCTCTCCTCTCCACCACAGGGCCTGTCTCGTGTCGGCTCTGCCCTGCAGGAGCCAGCTGCACTGTGCTGCCGTACACCAAAGCCCCATACTGCTGTTGTACCTTTCTCTGTGCATGCGCCATCTGCTGTCTGTCTGGCCCACTCTGTATGCTCCTCTCCTCTCTCCCTCACCACCACAGGGCCTGCCTGCGGTGCCATACACCAAAGCTGCTCACTGCATGCATGCACCATGTCTTACTCTGTATGCTCCTCTCCCCTCTCCCTCACCACCACCACAGGGCCTTCCTCGTGTGGGGTCTGCCCTGCAGGAGCCACCTGCACTCCGGTGCCGTACACCAAAGCTGCTTACTGCGCCTGCCCTCCCGGCTATGGCATGACTGCCGCTGGTTGCGTGCTCGGTATGTCTATTCTAGGTGCCACCATGTTACCATGTTACCACTGTTTTTTGGGTTTCTTCTTTGTTTCCTGTGCCCTCCCGGCCATGGTATGACTGCAGCGATTTCGATTGTCCGCATCCCAGATGTTACCACTCCACTGCCATGACCACTAGTATGCTCATTGTGTTTTGGTCACTGGTTGCATATTTGAAAACCTGCCACCTGCGGGTTACCGGCCGTTATGCCTCCTTCCTTCACTCCCTGTCTGCCTCATCAAACACCCTGTTGTTGTTTCCGTCCCAGCCTCATGTCCCTGCCCGGACTTTTGAGGCGCCTCAAAACCTGCCACTTGCGGGTTACTGGCCGTTATGCCTCCTTCCATCACTGTTGCCACTCCCTGTCTGCCACTCCTTCCTCCTGCCACTCCCTGTCTGCCTCATCAAACACCCTGTTGTTGTTTCCGTCCCAGCCTCATGTCCCTGCCCGGACTTTTGAGGCGCCTCAAAACCTGCCACCTGCGGGTTACTGGCCGTTATGCCTTCCTTCACTCCCTGTCTGCCTCGGACACCCTGTTTTTGTTTCCGTCCCAGCCTCATGTCCCTGCCCGGACCTTCACTAAAGCTCCTCCCCTAGTTTTCCCTTGGGCACCTTTTTCCACAACAATTTTTGAGGCGCCTCAAAAGTCGTGTCTCTACCCGCAATTCTCTCTACCCGCAATTTTTGAGGCGCCTCAAAAGATCCTCCCCTCGTTTCCCCTTGAGCACCTTTTTCCACAACAATGGCATGACACCACAACAACCTTTACACCTAAACACCGCCATGTTGCGCTTGACTGTGTAACAAAGTCACCTGCAAACGTGCTCTCGGGCTTCGAGCTTCGGCATAACGCCCTTAGGGTGGGTCACAGCTTTACATTGGACCCTCTTCACGTTCCACTTCCCTGTGTTCCCATCCCCTTCCAGGCGCCATCCCCACTGTCTCCTCGACCAGCTTCTCCTACTACACGCTCTCAAGCTTCAGCACATTGCTCTTAGAGCCGGTCACAGCTTTACATTGGACACCCTTCATGTTGCTCCTCCCTGTGTTCTCTTCTTCATCCTTCCAGGCGCCACCCCCACTGTCTCCTCCACCAGCTTCTCCTTCTACACGCTCCCAAGCTTCGGCATAACACCCGCCGCCTACACCATGCGCCTCACCTACAACGGCTGCACCAACCTCACAGCCTCCTCTGCGCCAGACATCAAGTCATACTGCGACGTGGAGCACGCTCCATCGCCTTTGTACCTTGCTTCTGAGTCTTGACTCTGCAGCACGTCTACGTTTCTTGATTCAACTCAAATGTTGCCTGTTGTGTTCCCTTCCTCCCTCCAGGCGCCACCCCCACCGTCTCCTCCACCAGCTTCTCCTACTACATGCTCCCGAGCTTCGGCATAACGCCCGCCGCCTACACCATGCGCCTCACCTACAACGGCTGCACCAACCTCACAGCCTCCTCTGCTGCAGACATCAAGTCCTACAGCGATGTGGAGCGGGCGCCTGGGGGCGCGGGCGACTGCACTGAGGTCCGCCAGTACTACCAGCCGGGGTGTGTTGGATCGTACAGCTTGTTTCCTGTCACGCAAGGGACTGGCGTCAGCACTGGGACTACTTCGTGAGTAATTTTAACCAACCGTCGTTTCATTTGTGACCTCTCTGCCTCTCTCTCCTGCTCTCACTATCATGCTCTCCCTCTCATTCTCTCCCTCGCTCTACCTCTCGCTCTCCCTCTCCAAAGCCTGTTCCCTGTCATGCCCGGGTCCGGCACCAACACTGGGAGTATTCTATGAGTCTTTTGACTTTTGAGTCGGCTCAAAAGTCAACTCGAGGGGGACCACCGGCATCAGTACTGGGAGTATACCGTGAGTCATTTCGACCAACGCGCCAGCCTTTCATTTGTTACCTCTCTATTTCTCTCCCCCGCTCTCTTCCTCTCCCTTGCTCTCCTCCTCTCCCTCTCCTCTTTCTCTCCCTCTCCACGGAGTCTTTTCCCTGTCGAGCCAGGGACGGCCATCAGCGCTGGGAGTGTTCTGTGAGTCTCTCAACCCGGTTACCTCTTAACCTCTCTACCTCTCAGGGCTAGTGGCTGCCACATCTCTACCTTAACTTCTCCCACGCCTTATTCTTCGTCGTTTCGCTCTCCTTACCTCTTCCCTTCTTTTAATCTTCCTCACCCTTTCCTCTCTCGCATGCACTCAACTCAACCCACCTTGCCCTGTATGACTTGCCGTGCGTAATAATCGTTTCCGCATGCATACATGTAGCAGAAGCCATCCCGGGCTTCCTTTCTGCTCTTTCACCTGCATGCATTGGCTTGACTCCTGGGTGCCTGTCTGGTTCAACACCCGTCTCTGGCACTCTGCATGCGTACAAATATATCGTTTACAATGACCTGTGCGTTTGCCTTCCCATGCAAACAGCAACTATCCCGGGTATCCTTTCCGCTCTTTCACCTGAACCGGTATCCGTGCCTGGTTTGGCACTCGTGTGTGCATGCATACAGGCAGCAGCAACTATCCCGAGTGTCTTTTCCGCTCGTTAACCTGCACTGGTATCAGAGACACCCGTCTCTGCATGCGTACAAAATTAACGTTCACTCCTACCTGTGTGTTTGCTTTCCCATGGAACAGCAACTATCCCGCGTACCCTTACCGCTCCTTCGCCTGCTCTATCACTGGTGAGCGCTTTTGTGGTGGTGGGTGCAGCTGTGATGGTGAGTGAGTGCTGCAGTGGTGGTGAGTGCCATGCCAGTGTGTTCCCTTTGTCCCCCCCCCCTCCCCCACCCCGTCTCCAGCTCACCCTTCAGCTGTAAATTCTCTCACATGACCTTTTTTTTTTTTTTTTGTGAAGTCACTTCGGATTCGCATTTCCTTTCACAGGAGGTCCACTCAGCTGCTTCAAATCTCGCCTTCATAGTGCAGAATCCATGCACATGCCTTGCAACCTTCCAAACGTCCAAATTTCTATGCTCACTACCGAAGATTGCATATTCATCCAGCTGTTTTTTTGTAGAATTCTCAAAAACCAGATTGCATATCCAATCATACCTCAGAAACGAGCTTTCTTCAAAAGCAAGGGGCTAAGAAACCCGCTATGCTCACCTCTCATCACTCACAGAGAAATGCGCGCCCAACCCCTGCGGTGGGAACGGTGTATATGTCACACGTCTTGGTGCACATGTTTTGCAACCTTCCTGCCCACAAACTTCCTACGCTCACATCGCCCACAGAGAAATGCTCGCCCAACACCTGCGGTGGGAACGGCACGTGCGTTCAGGACAGTGCAGGGGTGGCCTTCTGTGCTTGCAATGCTGGATTTCTTCTGCAGCCTGACGCCAGGACGTGCGCCGGTATGTGTGCTGGTGTGTGCGTGGTATGTGCGTGGTATGTGCATGGTATCCGCGTGAGGATGGAGAATAATGTAAAATTGGCATTCTGATTACTATCCAGGAAGCTGTACATTGTTGTGGAAAAGAGGACAGGCAGGCTGGTTGACGTCTTGGCTGAAGGCTCTCTCCGTCTCTCACATTTGCTCCTTCCTTTCTTATTGTTCATTCTCTTTCCCTCTTCTTTTGTTCAGACCATTCCCCTCTAATCTGCGATCCCACGACTGACTGTGTCAATGACGCATTCCCCTCTCCCCCATGATCTCCTCTCCCTCTGATCCCCTCCCCCTCTGATCTCCTCCCCCTCTGATCTCCTCCCCCTCTGGTCTCCTCCCCCTCTGATCTCTCTCCTCCCCCTCTCATCTCCTCCTGCAGAGGCGTGTGGGTCCAAGATCTGTGATCCCACGACCGACTGTGTGATTGACGCTCCAGGCGGTGCATCGTGTGTGTGCAAGGCGGGCTATCAGAGCATCTCCGGTGCTTGCGTCGGTACGTGCTAGTGCCGTCACCCCCCGAATAAACCACTCATACTATTAGCCTTTCATATCTTTGGCCTTTCCGATTTTAGTCTGTCTTATAATAGGACCATCCCTGCCACCAGGTATATGACCTGGCCAATTCTGTTCTGTGCCTTCCTCATTGCACGTGCCACAGCAATGCATGCGACAATGTGTGCTGCATTGTAACTTGCATTGTGTGCTACACCTCTAACAAGACGTCTGTAATGTCAACTCACATCATTGCTTGCAACTCTGTACTGCTCTGTGTTGCTCTCTGTGCTGCCCTCCATGCTCCTGTGTGTGCCTCCCTCTCTGACCCATTGTTTAATATTTGTGATGTTCCATCTCATGCAAACAGCATCATGCCGTGCTGTGCTGTGCTGCTGTGCTGTGCTGTGCTGTGCTGTGCGGTGCTGTGCTGTGCTGTGCTGTGCTGTGCTGTGCCATGTTGTGCTGTACCATTCTGTTCTGTGCTGTGCCATGCTGTGCTGTGCCGTTCTGTGCTGTGCTGCACTGAGCTGTGCTGTGCTGTGCCATGCTGTGGTGTGGCGTGGTGTGGCGTGGCATGTTGTGCTGTGCCGTGCTGTGCTATGCTGTGCTGCACTGAGCTGTATCATGCTATCCAAATCATATTTCTGATCTCTCAAAAGTGCTGTTATGTGTTGTCCCCTGCTGCTGTGTCGTGGGTCGTCAGCTCTCTTCCTCATCTCCTCCATCCTCCCTCGTTCCCCACCCCCCCAGGCCCCGCCACCTGTGGGAGCTGCCCTGCAGGGGCCACGTGCACTGTTGCTTTCAGCGTCGTTCCATATTGCATCTGCCCTCCTGGCTATGGCATGACCAGCACTGGCTGCATCAGCGGTAAGCCCCACATGCCACTTGCACCTCATCTCACTCTTTCCCCTCCCACCTCTTTACCTCGGGGGTTCTTCCACACTGCATCTGCCCTCCTGGCTGTGGCATGACCAGCACTGGCTGCATCAGCGGTAAGCCCCGAGGCTGTTTGCATTCTAGCTATGTAGAATGCTTTCTTGCAGCGTACGTAAGACTGAAGCTGCTCATAATCCCACATGCCTACCCTTTTCTCCCACCTGTTGAACCTTATGTTGTGTTTCCTTCCAGTAGCAACAACCCCTGTCTTCTGCTTCTGCTTTCGTCCCCTCGCCTCTGTCCCTTTTTCTACTAGCACTCCATTTGCACTCCACCTCCCTCTCCTTTCATCTCCACCATCTACTATGACCCCCCATTCTCCCCATTGCCCCCTCACCTTACCTCTTCTTCCTTCTCATCCCCCCCACGTTCTGCTACCCCTTAGCATGCTATGCTTGTTGCTCTGCGTGCCCTTGCCTCATACTTTCCCCAACCTATTTGAGCCTTACTTCATATCCTTCGGTTCCCCTATATGCTCATGCCATGCTGCACTGCTCGCCCTTGCCCTCGCAGGCGCCACCCCCGCCGTCTCCTCCACCGCCATCTCCTTTTGCACCCTCCCCATCCCACCCCGCCTTATCGCTGGTTTGATTCTCGCCCCACTTATTCCCATGCCATGCTGCACTGCACTGCTCGCCCTTGCCCCCTGCAGGCGCCACCCCATCGTCTTCTCCACCGCCATCTCCTTTTGCACCCTCCCCATCCCACCCCGCCCTATCGCTGGTTTGATCCTCGCCCCACTTATTCCCATGCCATGCTGCACTGCTTCCCCTTGCCCTTCCAGGCTCCACCCCTGCCGTCGCCTCCACCAGCATCACCTTCATCCTCCACACTTACTATGCCCCCCATACCATGTGATGCCGCTCCGCTTGCCCTTGCCCCTGCAGGCGCCACCCCCACCGTCTCCTCCACCAGCATCACCTTCTACGACCAGCCAAGCTACACCATCACGCCCATCACCTTCTACACGCTACCAGGCCTCTTCACAACGCACTTGACATCTCACCACCACCCTGTCTTGTCATCCTCTGTTGCCACCCCCTTGCAGGCGCCACCCCCACCGTCTCCTCCACCAGTATGACCTTCTACGACCAGCCAAGCTACACCATCACACTTAACACCTTCACCATACGCCTTCAACTCAACGCCTGCACCGCCCTGTCTTGTCACCCTCTGTTGCCACCCCCTTGCAGGCGCCACCCCCACCGTCTCCTCCACCAGCATCACCTTCTACGATCAGCCTAGCTACACCATCACGACCAGCACCTTCACCATGCGCCTTCAACTCAACGCCTGCACCACCCTCCCTGCCGTGCTTGCCTCGCAAGTCTGGTCCACTTGGCGGCTCGACGGGGCTCCTGGAGGGGCGGGGGAGTGTGTGAGCTTGAATCAGTATGAGCAGGAGGGGTGCGTTGGAACGTACACGTCGTCTCCCACTGCTTCGGACGGAACCAGCATGGCCGGCCTGGGCTTCACGTGAGTGTGGAATTGATACGAGTTTGCGAGGTTGCATGCATGCGTAATGGCGCGCCCGCGTGTGCGCGCGCGCACACACACACACACATGTGCACAAACGCATTCACACACACATGCACACGCGCACGCACACACACACACACACACACACGCATGCACGCACGCACGCACGCACGCACGCACGCACGCACTCACGCACGCACGCACGCACGCACGCACACACACACACACACACACACACACACACACACACACACACACCACACACACGCGCGCGCGCGCCGCATGCACGCACGCACATACGTGCATGACACGCACACACACACACACACCTGCACACACTCCCGTGATACATGATACTGAAGTTTACCCTGCTTCTTAGCTTCTTTCTTCCTCTAGTTCCTGATCCCCCAAAGCACCCCTTGTTCCCTTGCATGTCATCTCCCTCTAGTCTTCTGGTTTGTCGTGCACACTGGCAAATGACCAGTGACCTTGCATCTTACTCACTCCATTCACTTGGCTGCCCCTCCCTCTCCTCCTCCCCTCCCTCCCTCCGTTGCATGCCAGATCCCGCTAGTCTTCTGGGTTGTGTGCATACAGGCACATAACCATGACCTAGCTAGTTGCTACCTCCAGTTTCTCCACTTCCATCCCTCTTCCCTTCCCTCCCCGTGTGCTATGCATTCGCCACCCCATTTTGCTCATTCCTCTTCTCTCACCCCTTCCATTCCCTGCATGCTGACATGCAACAGCAAGTATCCCGAGTATCCTTACCGCTCCTTTTTGAGATGTCTCAACCCCACCCCCCCAACCTGTGTGCAACGCTGTCCCCACCCCTTTTCCTCTCATTGCTGCATGCATACATGCAATGCAACAGCAAGTATCTCGGGTATCTTTACCGCTCCTATTTGAGTCGCCTTTGTGTGCCATGCATCCCCGCCCCTTTCTCCTCTCATCTCTGCATGCACACATGGAACAGCAAGTATCTCGGGTACCCTTACCGCTCCTTCAGCTGCAATGGTATTGGTGGGTGCTGCAGTGGTGGTGCGTTCTGCTGTGGTGGTGCGTTCTTCTGTGTTCGTGAGTGCTGTTGTGTTGGTGGGTGCTGCTGTGTTCGTGAGTGCTGTTGTGTTGGTGGGTGCTGTTGTGTTCTCCCAAACCTACCTAGTGTGTCCCTTTAATCTGCAACCAGTCGAGCCATTCTTTTTTTTCACGAATCCCCCTCAATGCCTTCCTCTCCCCCCTTGTGTGCTATCCATTCCCCCTGGCCTTCCTTCGGTAGCCCACCCGTTTGCATATTCATCCCCCCTGACTTTCTTCCATACCCCCGTCAGTCCCATCCATTCCCTCGTTGAGTGTGAGTCCCTCCCCGACCTTTTCCCTTTGCATCCTTTCATCCCCTCCCTTCCCCCCCCCCCCCCCCGCTTTGCGAAATTATCTCATGACCCCTCATCTACCTCTCCTTGGCCTCGCTTTCCCATTTCCGCTCACTTTTGATTGCTCTGACATTTGTGTTCCCTTTCCAGCTATTCCGTAGGAAGTCTCGCAAAAGGGCTGAATCTCATTACAAGTAGAGATGTACCTCAAGTGGGTGCGGAGGGCATTGCTTTCACGGCTTTTCGAGATGCGGTTGATGTGATATGAGGACATTGTGGGACTATAGGACCTCTGCTATTGTTTTTGTGAGCTTAGGCCCTTGGCATGAGCATCAAGCAAGTAACGGCAACCATTACCTGCTTATACAGGTAGTTTTTGTGTGTCTATGTTACCCTCATTTTGGAGGCATCTGCGTGGTTCCCTGGCTCGGATATAAGCGCACGTGCGTGCTTAATATATCAGGGTAAAAATTCAGGGTGCACTGCACTGCATATACTGGCGGACATGATGGCCATCAGATGGCGGATGATTCAATCACGTAGGAAGGGTTTAAAATGTAAGAGCTAGAATTCAAAGCTCATGCGTGAAGATGAGAGTCTGTACTTAGCATGTTGAAGCACAAGTCTTCATAGCCCATGGCATGGCACATGGCATTTCACAAAGCATGGGACATGGCACGCTGCATATGACACATGAGATGAGACAAAGCCACAAGGCACAAGGCATGGCCCATGGCATGGCATGGAACATGGCATGGCATGGCACATGGCATAGCCAATGGTATCTCACAAGATATGGAACTTAGATGGCGTTCACAGCAAGTTCCCCCAAAGCGAACAGGGCTCAACAACAGTGCACAGATATTTGTGTAGCACGTATTACGAAAGCTTCTCATGAACGATCTTGAAGTCGACGGGGTTACATGCACCTCATTAAGTGTGAAAATTTGCCCAAACTCGTTTAGGTGTGTATCCACATTCGCATGACACGGGGAGTGGGTGTGGTCAGTGGCAATACTGCCATGCTGGACCCAAACATCTGCACTTCTGGGCCTCTTGGGGCTACTTCGCTTGGGGGAACTTGCTGTGAACGCGATCTTACCGGTACAGGTCGTGCCATCCGCCTGCAGCGCAAAGTTAGTGTCACACACACAGGACGCCGCTCCAGTGGTTTCGTCCTTGATGCACCGGCCGTTCACACCACAGCTTTGTATCTCGCAGGTGTCTGGGGTGGGGGGGAGCAATGGGGGAGGGGAGTGAGGAGTGGATGAAATGGGTGAGGATGGTGTAGAAGGGACGTGAAGAAGGAGAGATTGATGAAGAGGAGAGTGACTAGAGAGAAGTACCTGCCAGCCAGCACAGAAATACCTGCCCACACACAAGTACCTACAGCCAGCACACAACTACCTGCCCACACACAAGTAGCTGCCAGCCAGCACAGAAATACCTGCCCACACACAAGTACCTACAGCCAGCACACAACTACCTGCCCACACACAAGTACCTACAGCCAGCACACAACTACCTGCCCACACACAAGTACCTGCCAGCCAGCACACAAATACCTGCCCACACACAAGTACCTGCCAGCCAGCACACAAATACCTGCCCAGACACAAGTACCTGCCAGCCAGCACACAACTACCTGCCCACACACAAGTACCAGCCAGCCAGCCAGCACACAAATACTTGCGCACACATAAGTACCTGCCAGCCAGCACACAAATACCTGCCCACACACAAGTACCTGCCAGCCAGCACACAAATACCTGCCCACACACAAGTACCTGCCAGCCAGCACACAAATACCTGCCCACACACACATACCTGCCAGCCAGCACACAAATACCTGCCCACACACACATACCTGCGAGCCAGCACACAAATACCTGCCCACACACACATACCTGCCTTGTTTGAGACGCGGCAAATCGCCTCGTACGGCTCATGCTGATATGGTGAGGGCAGAAGCTCGAGTGATTCTCTGATTTAGTCAAAGGAGGAGGAGTAGTAGGAGGAGGAGGAGGAGGAGGAGGAGGAGGAGGAGGGAGGAGGAGGAGGAGGAGGAGGAGGAGGAGGAGGAGGAGGAGGAGGAGGAGGGGGGAGGAGGAGGAGGAGGAGTAGTAGGAGGAGGAGGAGGAGGGGAGGAGGAGGAGGAGGAGGAGGAGGAGGAGGAGGAGGATGAGGAGAAGGAAGGAGGAGGAAGGAGGAGGAAGGAGGAGGGAAGGCAGTGCGCACATGGGAGGGACAAGGGGGGTGTGGTGGGTGAGCAAATGTTTTAGACTCGGCCTCAGGAGTGCTGGGAGAGATGAGAGTGATGGGAGTGATGGGAGTGATGGGAGTGATGGGAGTGCTTGGAGTTATGGGAGTGCTGGGAGTGATGGGAGTGATGGGATTGATGGGAGTGTTGGGAGTGATGCGAGTGATGGGAGTGATGGGAGTGATGGGAGTGATGGGAGTGCTGGGAGTGATGGGAGTGCTGGGAGTGATGGGAGTGCGTGGTGAAGTTACTGGTGCCCCACGATTTGAGTGCGTATTGCCTTTCAGGCGCTGGTGGTGGTGACTTGACTACACCGCATATAGCCTACATGCGGTGCTTTTGAGTCGACTCAAAAGCAGGCGCTGGTGGTGGTGACTTGACTACACCGCATACAGCCTACATGCGGTGCTTTTGAGTCGACTCAAAAGTAGGCGCTTGTGGTGGTGACTTGACTACACCAAATACAGCCTACATGCGGTGCTTTTGAGTCGACTCAAAAGCAGGCGCTGGTGGTGGTGACTTGAGTACACCGCATACAGCCTACATGCAATGCTTTTGAGTCGACTCAAAAGCAGGCGCTTGTGGTGGTGACTTGACTACACCAAATACAGCCTACATGCGGTGCTTTTGAGTCGACTCAAAAGCAGGCGCTGGTGGTGGTGACTTGACTACACCGCATACAGCCTACATGCGGTGCTTTTGAGTCGACTCAAAAGCAGGCGCTTGTGGAGGTGGCTTGACTACACCAAATACAGCCTACATGCGGTGCTTTTGAGTCGACTCAAAAGCAGGCGCTGGTGGTGGTGACTTGACTAAACCGCATACAGCCTACATGCGGTGCTTTTGAGTCGACTCAAAAGCCGGCGCTTGTGGTGGTGGCTTGACTACACCAAATACAGCCTACATGCGGTGCTTTTGAGTCGACTCAAAAGCAAGCGCTGGTGATGGTGACTTGACTAAACCGCAAACAGCCTACATGGGGTGCTTTTGAGTCGACTCAAAAGCAGGCGCTGGTGGTGGTGACTTGACTAGACCGCATACAGCCTGCATGCGGTGCTTTTGAGTCGACTCAAAAGCAGGCGCTGGTGGTGGTGACTTGACTACACCGCATACAGCCTGCATGCGGTGCTTTTGAGTCGACTCAAAAGCAGGCGCTTGTGGTGGTGGCTTGACTACACCGCATACAGCCTGCAGGCGGTGCTTTTGAGTCGACTCAAAAGCAGGCGCTTGTGGTGGTGGCTTGACTACACCGCATACAGCCTGCATGCGGTGCTTTTGAGTCGACTCAAAAGCAGGCGCTGGTGGTGGTGACTTGACTACACCGCATACAGCCTGCATGGGGTGCTTTTGAGTCGACTCAAAAGCAGGCGCTGGTGGTGGTGACTTGACTACACCGCATACAGCCTACATGGGGTGCTTTTGAGTCGACTCAAAAGCTGGCGCTGGTGGTGGTGACTTGACTAAACCGCATACAGCCTACATGCGGTGCTTTTGAGTCGACTCAAAAGCTGGCGCTGGTGGTGGTGACTTGACTACATCACATAGAGCCTAAATGCGCTGCGGCTGACTTATGGTCGGCCTACATGCGGTACGGCTGACTTATGGTCGGCCGCGCTGCTCGCAGCATTGGCAGCCAGCCTAGGGGGTTTGAGGGGGCAACGAGATGGGGAAATGGTGCGTTTCAGCATGCCCATAAGTGTTCCGTCTCATGCCCTGGTGGTGGTGAGCAGACCTTTGAGACGTCCCAAAAGCTCAACAGGTCATAAGTGTTCCGTTTGACGCCCTAGTGGTGCTGAGCAGGCGCCTGAGCTGACTCACGGTCGGCGGCGTTGCTTGCGGGTGGCAAGCGAACAGCAGCATCCCCAGGCGCACAGGCTGAGCGCGGATGGGGCAGGAGAGGCGAGGGGCGGGGGGGGGGGAGGAAAGGGGCTTGGGGAGTGGGAGGAGAGAAAGGAAGGAGGATGGGCCGGTGGCAGCGGCCTTGGCCACACAGGGTGAGAACGGATGGGGTTGAGGGATGGGAAAGCGGGGTGTGGGGAGGAAAGGAAGAAAAGAAGGATGGGATTCGGACGGAGGAAACGTGGCGAATGCAACAGCCTGGGCACACCAGCTGTGAGCAGGTGGGGGAGAGCGGTGGGAGGGGGGAGGGGGGAGTAAGAAAGGAGGAGAGTGGAGTGAGAAGGAAAGGAAGGAGGACGCAAGCAGGGGAGGCGAATGATAGCAGCATTGGGAATTTACTCACAGCTTGTGAACGAAAGGCGGTAGCAGAGATGAGAATATAGCTGAGAGCATAGGTGAGGTGAGAGCATAGCATCGTATAGCCGAGAGCATAGCTGAGAGCACAACTGAGAGCACAGCTGAGAGCATGAGAACATACCCGAGAGCATACCTAAGAGCATACCTGATCGCACCTGAGAGCATACCTGAGAGCACGAGAGCAGCCAGTGCAACGAGCACGAGGCCAGAGCGTCGCCTCACAGCCAGGCCGTGCAAACGCGACATCATGCCTCTTTCCAATCGTGGGCGAAGACTGAATAATATGCTAGAACTATCAATTATGTGAGAGTTTCAACTGCAGCAGCAGCAAGCGGTAGAGCACATCGCGAAAATCCAAGGCCCGAAAAGTTGCGGGGTTGCAACTTCAAAGTTGCTTTTCAGCAACTTGGGTTCCGTTGGAAAAAAGTCTAGGTCAAAGGCTTCTGTGGCGGGGTGACTTCGAAGTTGCGGAAAAGTGACAACAAAGCTTAAAAAACAACGGCCATATCGCTACACGCGACACAACGAACAGATGACATCAGAAGTAACATTTGTCTGAAGGTCTTGGGCTTTAAGTCTACATTTGCCACGTGGACGCCTGATCGCCACATGCAATAAAATATCAAAAGATTCCTTGCGTTAGCTTACATGGAGACATTTAATTTGTCATATATATTATATAAATTCCAGTATATCAAACTCGTCCATCACCAACACTAAATCCTAATTTTGTGCTAATGCAACAAAAATCAGATACAGTTGTGTCAACACAAACTGTTGCCATTCAACAAAATGCGATGGTAAAATCGAGAAATGGCAGCGTACTTATTTTCCTCCTAGCCGTGATACCTGCAAAATCTGATGTTAGAATAACAGTCGTACACATGTAAGCAACACAACAGGGAAGAAGTGAGTCAATCAACATGGCAATTAAAAGGAGTCAACATAGCATGTAATTGAAGAGAGGTTACTTACTGGCTACTTACCTGTCCTGTATGACATTTTGGTGACAAAATAACGTGGCATGGTAAGAGAAATGAAGACATATCGGCGCAAAACACATATGAGAGAAAGCACATATAATACGTTCGCCAATCCCCACCTTTGAGATCCATTCTCTGCACCGCATAGTGATCGCATCCTGTTGGGTTAGAAAAAATCGTCTACTTCTATGAGAGAACACAACCTGCCAGCGTTAAATCAATAAAAAAGCGCGATGATACTGCGACTCATCGGAAATTGCAACACGAAGGGCGCCATCCGCTGTACGGTAGTAAGACCAGCTTGGTTGACATTAACATTTGAACCGCACCTGCAGACAACAGTCCGACGGCACAAAAGGAAATGAACAATGCAAAATTAGGTTAGGAGTATTCGACTGAAAGCACAGCATAATACGATGATGCACATTAGAGTGACATTTCGTCAGAGCAAATCATGGCGGATAGATCTGGAGAAGGGAGAAATGGGCGAGAGTTGAGATTGAACAGCAAGAAAAAATGGTTGAGAAACTGGTTGGGAAGAAATGGTTGAGAAGAAGTGGTCGAGACGAAATGGTTCGAGAAAAATCTGGAGGTGGTGGGTGGGGTGTTGACGTGGAGATAAGGAATCGTGTTGATTGGTGGGAAAGTGTTGGGTTCCTCTCTCAGCTGGTTAGAAAACGTCTGTTGGTTGGGTACGACGCACAAGAGTTGGGGGGGTTAGTGTTTGGCGATGATTTGGTACTTCGCAAATTTGGTTGGCTTGAGTTTGTCGCTCTGCTTGTTGATTGGTGGTTTGACTCTCGACTTTCCAAACTTTCGTCCACATCTGTAACATTTCGTGGTCTTCGTCTTTTTCTCTGAAAGGAGAACCTCACTGTAACCCCTTGTACCACGCGTAACACTGCTTGGGTGAGTGTGGATACAGGTAGAGTGGCGAAAGTGACATTTTCGCCACTTCATGGTTGCGTGAAAGTGAATGGCCATTTATTACGTTGAAGTCACTTTGGCCACCTGGCTCTGAATGTGAGCGCCAAAGCTTTTCCGAAGCCTTTCCGAAGATTTTTCGCATGAAAAGCTACTGTGTATATTTGTGCCCACAAGGAATTTCGCGATGCAGCAGGTTCAAAGGCAAGTTCAAGCAAGTGATATCCCTAAAAAAAGATCCCTTTGGGAGCCGTAGCATCAAATTTTGCGACTCGACGAAGCAAGCTTGGGAGTTCAAGATGCCGGGAGAAATGGATATCTCGTAAATAGGTCTGGGTTACCATGGCAACGGAACACAGACGCGAGGAATGTGCGAGTAGTGCAGTGCAGACGGAGCAGTACAGTCATGTCGAGCTTCTCGGGCTGTCGATTGGTTCCAGGCCAACACTTGAGAGTCTGAGGTGCCCGTATTTCAGCCCTGAAATCTCCGGGAAGTGTCCTTTTCCGAGCCTTTAAGCGTCCGGGAAAGCACCCAACCAAAAACTTAAATCTAGGGCTACACTATAACAATCAGGGCAAAGTTTATATAACGAAAACCAATAAAGGCAGAGTTTATTTAGAGCTGCTATCTACTTTCTCAACACTAATAACTAAGTGGCAGGCTTGCGGCGCTTCTCCCCGTTGAAGATTTGGTACACACCTGCCCAGTCCACGTCATAATCTAGCATTTATATGGTAGGATGGGATAGGATGGGATAGGATGGGATGGGATGGGATGGAAAGGGAAAAACGGGAAGGGAGAGGGTGGAGGGGGGGGGGGGGGGGGTAGGAAGGGCTGTGAAAGTTTCCGGGTAAGGCCGGAAACTTTTGCAGGGAATCAGGGAAACCCTCCAAGAGGCCCCTGTAAGAATCAGGGGAAGGCCCAGCCCACGCCCGTTATCATTCCAGGCGCTGTACAAAAAATAAACCCTCAGAATCTGGACTTTGGGGCAAAGTCAGACCTTAATGTTCAGGGCATTAAGGCCATATGCCCTTGAATTGACAGCCCTGGTTGCGACGACGGGTTGCGCGTGATGCGCTACAAGCGCGGATGACAGAAAACCCATTTATGTGGCATCAGGATTTGACGATGACAGTAACGATCTCTTTATTGCTGCCAGCTTCTCTCGCTGGAAACGGTAATGTGCAACGACAACGAAGCCTGCCAGGCAAAAACTGGAACTGGCAATAACCTATTCGACTCAGCTCAGTTTGAAGCAGCAATCGCCCGCCGTGCACCAGTTCAACCAATGACAGATCGTCATCCAGCGGGTATCACGTGAAGGTGACGACGAATGACGTAGTTCAGGTACTTTACAACGTCTTTGGTTCTAGTTGGGATGTGTTGTGCAAGCAAGAATGTCCCAATGGGTAGATTCTCACCTTTGATCCTAGAGGTCGTGGGTTCAACTCTCAGCAACTGCACTTTCTCTTCTCATTATGCCCAACATGACATTCCCACACTCCACCACACTCACCCACAGTGAAGTGTGGTCACATTTGGCATTGCCATCTGTACACTCATCCCATACTCTCCTTGCTGGCCCCTATGATGTGCCACATGCTACCATGTGGGCTGGTGTTCCAGCCTGGCCCACATGTGCAACATGTGGCCTCAATTGCTAGCTTGGCAAGGTTGGCTAGCCTTGCCTTCAAGCTTTGAGGTGCTGCAGCTAGCCTCAAGAGTTCAGCCACATATATGTGGCTTCCCACTTCTCTAGAACTTATCCTTGGTTAAGGACATTGCTCTAGCCTCTCAGGCTTGTACCATCTTCCTACTAAGGATACATTGTTTTTCTCTCATTGTGCCTTAAGTTCACCGATCCTCATTCTACATGCTATCAGAGCCAGGCTTCTAGCTTAGTGAACGTTGCACACTTGATGGCTCAAGTTGAAACGCCTCTCGGTCGGCACACCCTTCCCATCTTAGAACCAGATGGTTCTAACTTCATTCCATGGAAGAAAAAGATCTGCTACATCTTCAACGTCCTTCGGCTGATTTCCCTCCTTGGAGATCCCAAGGTTGCTTCGCGTCCTTCAATTTCCTCTTCCACAACTAGCGGTGGAGAGGCTACCAAAGGCAACACTGGTGCAGCCCCTAAAACAGCCCATTCAATTGCTTCGCTGCCGGATGAAGAAAAGGAGGAGCATGCATACTATCTTCTCATGTCGGCCGTCCATCCTCAACTGTCGCTCACTCTTGCTCAAGCCAACACGACAAAGGATATGTGGGGATGCATCATGGCGCGGTTCGACTGCATGGGCAACCATGCACAAGTGGCTCTCCTCCGGGATCTCATCACTACAGGGATGGACCCAACAACAAGTCTTCGCTCATACTTCGATCGAGTTGGAAATCTTACACACCAACTCAAATCTGCCGGCTTCGAGTTACCATCATGGGTGGTGGTAATCTCCATCATTCCTCAATCTTCCGGACTCGTTCAAGACTTTTACTGAAACCATTTGCACCAGGAAAGAAATCAAGTCTATGACGGTCAAATACCTACAGTCACGCCTACTCGATGCCGATTGGGAGCGGTCACAATCTGGTACAAGCCGCAACATGGAGGGTGCATACAACCTCAATTCCCAACCCTCCCACCCTCTTCGCTCCGGTTCCTGCCAGTCACTTACCTGCCGTTACTGCAAGAAAACTGGTCACACCATTGACGAATGCTTCAAGTTGAAGAAGAAAAAAGAGCTCGAAGAAAGCTCTAAACGGGAGAAATCCGTCATCCAGCCTTCGGTGCATGTCTCCACCAGTTCCTCTGCTGAAATGACTCCGACCCCTACACCACCTCCTGCCCCATCAGCCCCTCAATCCGTACCTGATTCCCGGTACGTTGACATTGCTGTCAGCACCAGCCATCACCCCATCTTCTCCACATGGACTCCTCTCGTCGCTGCTGTCTTCATTCTCACCACCCTCCTCTTCCCTTATGGGGCTCCCTACGCATCGGCATTCACGGCCTCCTCATCCAACATGGTCCGGACCTCGTCGTGGCTGGTAGACAGCGGCGCATCCTCCCATATCTGCTCGGATCTCTCGCTGTTTTCGTCTCTCCAGAAGCCAAACGAAGATATACCTGTTCGTTTTGGTGGTGGAGAGACTTACAAGGTCTTGGGAGTCGGCACGGTGGTGGCTACTCTTCGGTCACAAACATCGGAAACCACCATTCAGCTGGACAACGTTCTCCCTTCATCGGTTCACAACCTGCTCTCTGTTCGTGCACTTGGTGCTGCCGGTATTGCCGTCTCGTTCCCCGCTGCTGGGCGCGTTGTTCTCACAGCTGATGAAGCTCCTATCGGCGAGGGTTATACCCGCAATAATCTGTTTTACCTTCACCTGCATCATGGGAGCACTGCTGCTCCTTCTATCAAGCCAACGGCATGTCCAGTCTCCACCACCACCTCCTCATACCTCTAGCATCGTCGTTTCGGGCATCTCAACATGCAGGATTTGTCAACACTTCATCGGGAGCAGCTGGTCACCAGCCTTAACCTTTCCTCCTCCTCGATCCCCCATTGCATCTCGTGCTATCGTGGAAAACAAACACGTCAACCGTTTGGCGTGTCCGATTCTCGCACCACAACACCACTCCAACTCATTCACTCAAATATTGCTGGACCGTTCTCATATGAAACTACCATTGGCGGCGCTCGCTACCTTCTCACCTTCATTGACGACTATTCCCGCCACATTACAGTGTATCTCCTACGCCACCGATCCGAGGCACTTTCATGCTTCAAGGCTTACGTCACTCGGGTGCACAACATGCATTCCCCAAATACCATCACGGCCTTTCGCTCCGACTGTGCCTTGGAGTTCACTTCCGAAGCCTTCACTTCATTCCTTACAGCTCATGGCATCGCTCGCCACCGCTCTACGCCATACACACCTGAGCAAAATGGAGTAGCTGAGCGCGCCAACCGGACTTTACTTGAGATGGTCCGTTCCATGCTACATGACGCACACATGGACAAAGGGTGGTGGGGTGAAGCCGCTCTTACCGCTGCCTATCTCCGTAATCATGCCATTGGTCGGGGTGGTTCAACTTCTAAGACTCCCATTGAACTATGGACCGGTGCACGTCCGGATGTATCACACCTCCGTATCTTCGATTCACCCGTCTCGGTCCTCATTCCTTCCCAACGGCGTTCTAAGCTCGACGACCGAAGCACGGCTGGCATCATGGTTGGATATGGTCATCTTGACGGCACCAAAGCTTACCGCATCTATATCCCATCTCAGCATCGTGTCATACTTTCTCGTGATGTCATCTTCATGGAGCCCTCTTCCCCACCTTCCGACGACCCTCGAGACCCTCCATCATCATCTCCACCCACATCATCCTCACTACCTCCTCCTCCTCCATACCCTTTTTCCTTGGCCCCAACCTCCCCTCCCTCTCCTTCCCTCACCATACCTTCCTCCACCAACCCCCACCCACAATCCCCACATCTGCCTGCACCAGCCACATCTTCTCCTCCTCCATTGTTTTCCAACCTTCCTCTGCCCTCGACGCCGCAAGACTTTCACCTTCCATCCTTCTCTCCTCCCTCTTCGCCTCCTCCTCCCCATTGCACGACTCCCTCCTCACCACCATCTTCTTCAGCTCTTCACGATCCTTCCCTTTTCACCTTGCTCAAGGTCCTACCATCCCCTTCCGAGCCCATTGACTTCACTCTTCCTCCGCTTTCCAAAACCTCCGCCAATGCTGCCCTTCATCATCATTAAGAACCTCAAACCATTCATGAGGCTCGTACCGGTCCTGATGCTGCTGAATTGATCAAGGCTGCTGATGCGGAACTCGCTGCCGTGCCCGCTAATGACACCTACATCATTGTACCTCGACCACCCAAGTGCAAGCCCATCCCATGCAAATGGATTTTCAAGGTCAAGGAGCATGCTGATGGTTCTATTGAACTCCGCAAAGCCCGCCTTGATGGCAAAGGCTTCAAGCAACGTGAAGGGGTTGATTTTCATGACACATTTGCTCCTACAGTCCGCTTCGCCACCCTCCGCTTGTTTCTCACCATAGCTGCCGCTTTCAACCTCGAAGTCCATCAGCTGGACATCTCCAACGTCTTCCTCAACGACACCCTTGATGAGATTCTCTACATGATGCAGCCTCCCGGTTATGAACTTCCGGCGGTCCATGGTATTGAGCAAGTTTGTCTCTTGCACAAACCGCTGAATGGGTTGAAGCAAGCACCACGATGCTGGTACCGCAAGCTTCGTGGGGAGCTTGCTGCCTTTCACCTCTTTGCTGCTCGTGCGGACCCCGGCCTCTTCATTGCTCCTCCTTGTTGATGGGAATAGCCCCGCCCTCGCTTGGGCGAAGCAGACTTCGCAGTCGGGGGCGCGCAGAAGACGACCTCGACTAGTCCGCAGAAGTCGTCGACAGAGGACGGGCTCGTATAGGACAGGTCGAGGGGTCCGTATAGGAGCTCCTCTACAAGGCCGGTATAGGAGCTCCTCGACGAGGCTGGCAGAGGGCTCGTCTAGGCGAAAGCTGCTCGGTGGAGCATTCGTCGAGCCGCTCTACGAAATCGTGCGACTGCGAAATTCGTCATGTGGGCGAATGTCACCCAAGAGGTTTTCGCGAAGTCAACCTGCGAAACGGCATCACGTTGTCGAAGGTGCATCGCTGGCGAAACCGTCGGCACGTGTTCTACCTGGCACCTGCGCAATGTGCCTGGCGGCGCGTCCGTCTACCTGCACCTACTTGGTAGGTGCGCACATGCGCAGAAGTTCACCTGCCTCTGCGGCGCTGGCAGACCGCTGCTATACCGCGCTGGCAGACCGCAGCTATACCGCGCTGGCAGACTACTTTGCTGCAGTGTTGGCAAGCCGCTCTTCTGCAGCACTGGCATAGTTCGCCTTGCAGAGGGCTTGCTAGGTGTTGCAATGCCATTCTAGCTATATCGACTTGCATGCCTCATTGTAATCTAATGTTCTTTCAATTTCTTAGTGGAATTCTTGCCATATCTCTCTACGAACACAGCAAGTAGTGAGAACGCCTAGTGCAACGCTACGATCACCCACACAACCCCGTGCCTTCCTCCGTAGTATACTCCCGTTGTGTAGTGACTCTCCGCATGGTGCGGTGAGCGTAAAACGGCCCCGCAACTTACCTAAGTCGTTGTAGGCCGGCAGCCGTCTAGACCGCCATGGACGACCAGGAAGTCGTAGCAGGCGTAGAGGATACCCTGCAGGCGCGGTTAGATGACGTTCGGGCATGCCTCGCAGCTGGCGAGTACGGCGGAGTGAACTTGGACGTTCTGCTCTTTGGAACCCGCGTGCAGTGGGCGCGCGATCACCCAACGATCCGTACTGAGGCGAATGGACCGCCCACCACTCCCCGACCGGCACGCAACGAAGGTGGCGTCGACGACCAGGTCGACGGCGGTGACCAAGTCGGCCGCGACGAGGGCACGCGGAGGATGAGTGGAGTGATCAGGGCCGCCGATGACGGGGTCGGCGGAACACATCCGCGAGCGCAGCGGTCGGCGGCGGCCGCGGGCAGCTCGCATGGCGACGTTGATGGTTGACGCCGCTCCCCGCAGAGAAGTGGAGTGAGGCCGAGCTCCTCTACGCACGTGATGGCTGGTGGAATTGCGCCCGCCTACGGCTATTTCAAGTTTTCGCCGGAGAAGATCGCGGTACCTATACCGTTGGAAGGTCGACGAGACCTCATCATGTGGAGGGAGTCAATCGAGCCCCATCTGGAAATCGCGGGGCTGAAATGTTTGGCCGACGGTGAAGTGGTGACGCCGGAAGAGGCGACGTCGAACTGCGGGCAGAATTCCGTGCGGCTCATCTACTGACCTTTATTATCATCTCGCGCTGCTATTCGCCGATGGTGCAGATCGCTCTGAAGCCGTGTCGGCTTCGACTAGACGCCGGCCACCAGGTGTGGCGGTTCATCTTGTCTACGTATCAGGCGACTGACGACCTATACATCGGCCAGCTGGAGGAGCGCTTGACTCACCTTAGGATGGGTGAGCAGGAGTCGGCGACGGACTACTGCAACCGTGCTCGACGGATACTCGCCGACATGCGGATGGCGGGTGTCGACTACTCTACGGCGTCCTACATCACGCACGTCGTCAAGGGATTGCCGAGCGGGTATAATCTGATGCGGCGGATGATGGCGATGCCCGGCGTGCGCGAGACGCTCAACGAGGATACCCTCACGAGCCACATCATCAAGGATGAGGCTATGCAGGAGGCAGAGCAGCCCACGGAGCTCCTTCCGCAGGCGAACTACGTCGCCCCGACGAAGCAGAGTCGTCAGCAGCAAGGGCAGCGCGGGAAGCCGAGCGGAGGTGGTAGCGGAGGTGGGAAATCGGCGAAGAATGCCGAGCGGTCGAAGTCGGATCGGGACAACGGTCGAGGCGGAGGTGGTCGTCGGGAATGTTGGCTATGCGGCGACCCCGACCACCTCTCCTTCGAGTGCCTCGACTGCGACGAGAGCGACGACGACGACAAGGGAGGCCGTGGGAAGTCCGACGGCGGTCGTCGACGCTGAGACAACAACCCGCGCAAGGAGAAGTCATCGTCGAAATCGCCATCGTCAACGAAGGATGCTGACTCCTCTACCGACAAAGGTCGAGGCGACGGGGAGGCGTCGTGCTCGATGGTCGAAGTCGTAGGGTCGACTGTCTCTCTGGCGCCGGAGGCCGGGGAGGACTTCAAGGCGGTCGCGGCAGCGGTGCAGGCGAACCCCACGGTGGTGCTCCTCGACAGCGGCTGTTCCCACCATCTGATGGGAACGAAGGAGGCGTTCGTCAAGATGAAGCCTGGAGGCGATGTCAAGCATGTGCGTGGCTTGAACGGGGCATTGCAGAACGTCGAAGGCCGTGGCACCGTCGCTTTGCGAGGGGAGATTGGGAAGCAGATTCTCGTTCTAGACGTGCTCTACGTCTCGGGCGTGCAAGCTAACCTACTGTCGGCCGGCCAGCTTCTGGAAAATGGTGTGAAGATTCAGTACGTCGGCGACGAAGTGCTGCTCGTCTCGGCGGCGGGGGACGTGCTTGGTCGGGCGAAGTATACCGGCCGGATTTTCTGCACCGACCTTTGCCCTTGCTCGACGGAGTCCATGTCGGCCTTGGGAGAGGTGGTGGCTCTGCGGACGATCACCTCGGCGACGAAGACTACGCTAGACATGTGGCACGCAAGGCTATTGCACGTCGGCGTCGACACGATCAAGAGCTCGGCGAAGCACGAAGCGCCGTCGGTTTGGACAACAACCAGTCGACCGCGGCGGATCTGCCGTATGCTTCCTGTGTCGGAGGCAAGCTGGCGCGGCATACCTTCCCCGACCAAGGATCGGACGCCAAGAATGCGCTCGACATGGTGCACATCGACCTCTGCGGGCCGTTTCGAGTGGCCGCCAACGATGACTGTCTCTACTTTCTGCT